GCAGCATTGCTACACTAGCCAAAATCCGGAAACCCAAGTGCCCAAGAACAGTTGACTGGAGAAGCAAATGATGGTACATCTACACAATGGAATGCTACTCAGTCATAAGTAAAGATGGAGTTATGCAATTTGCTGCTACGTGGGTGCATCTAGAAAGTATCATGTTGAGTGATGTTAGAGGGTTAGGGGCAGACACACAATGATCTCTCTCATATGTGGTGAACAAAGAAACAGTTGGGGAATAACACATGATCAAGGGCCCTCCCGTTGATCGTCGATCTGCTCGAGCGGGCCCAGTAACGTCTCCATTGGAGACTTTGTTGTTACTGTGTTTGGCGTATCGAATACTCTCGGTAGCTTGCCGGGCTCTCCGAGAGGGGCGGAGGAATCGAACTCGGGTCGGCCATGTTGGCCGCTTGTAAGGCGAACGCCCTACCCGCTGTGCAATAGAAAGAAAGATCATAAGAATTGTTCATCAGTAGGAAACTTTCCACTGGTGGTGGGGGGGAGAGGTGAGGGAAGGGAACACAAACATGATGATGGAGAGAAGCTGCCACTCTGGAGAAGGACAAAATGCTGTAAGGAAGTAACGTGATGTTCATGATACCCTTTAGGCAACAGTATTATCAATTGCAGTGCTTTAAAGGAAATAGAAAAAAAACAAGTGAATATTGCCTGCCATAGGAGCAGGCTAGGGGTCAGGAGAGAAATTGGGGACACTGGCAGAGGGAAGTGGACACTGGTGAAGGGACTGGTGTTGGAACGTTGCACACCTGAAACTCACTCATGAATAACTTTGTATTCATGGTGATTCTTTTTTAAAAAGAAAAGAATTTAAATATTTGATTTTTAAAAATGTAAATTTTAGTGGGGCTGGAGCAATAGCAGAGCGGGTAGGGCGTCTGCCTTGCACGCAGCCAACATGGCCGACCCGAGTTCGATTCCTCCGCCCCTCTCGGAGAGCCCGGCAAGCTACCGAGAGTATCTCGCCCGCACGGCAGAGCCTGGCAAGCTCCTCGTGACGTATTCGATATGCCAGACACAGTAACAACAAAGTCTCCAATGGAGACGTTACTGGGCCCGCTCGAGCAAATCGACGATCAACGGGAGGGCCTTTATTATTATTATTTATTAAATTTTAGTGGAAGAAAGGACATTAAAATGTGGTACAAATTCTTTGTATGGTCTAAGGAATTTTTCCCAAAACAACATCTGAATCAGATTGGACTGAATGTCTCTGGAGCAGTATTTCTAACAAAGGAGAAACATAGTAGCTTCACCAAAGTAGGAGAAGCATCATCAACATGGGCCTTTACAAGGGAAGCAGCACTATTTCCTTCCCTAGATACTTATTTAATAAAGTGAAGCTAAAAAGAATAATGAATTCCCTCATCCCAGGGAATTATTAGGACAAGAGGTGAGAACAGTCAGGTATTCTACGTTCCCATCCCCAAATAATTAAAGCATATTAGTAGAAATTGTATATTTATGCTCTTTCTGACACCAGGGATGGAAAAGCGCTTGCTGAAGACTTCGCTGTTCCTTGCCAATGCCTTTAAAAAACATCTATGCTCACTATTTTAACCTAAACCTTACAAAATCTGCAGGGTCAAATCTCTACTAAGACAACTGCCAGGGCCAGGGATTCTACAGTGGTTAGGGAGCATGCTTAACAATACACCCAAACCCAGTTCAATCCCAGGTACCATGTGGTCACCGGACATTGCTGAGTGCTACCACTGAGTAGCAGCTCTTTTTCTGCCCTTCTATTGAGCTACTGACCCCATTTGCCAAGAATCACTGGGAGTGTTGCCCAGGTCCCCTGAACTTCCTGGATACCCCATTCCCAAAGACATTTATTTCTTTTCTTCATTCACATCCTCTTACAACAGTGACACCTTCTAAGATCTACCTAATGTGTGGCACTACAACATATTGAAAGTAGGAACAGGAGACTCCAGCTGTATTTTTAAGTCAACTATTAGAGAGTTGTGAAAAGCTAGTATTTAAAGAGCATTTATAATGTTGCTTTTCAGTCATAGTACTGGTCTGAAATGGGGAAATTTTACTTAGTTAGTGAGTTACTAAGCTACTTAGTTAATTTTTTGAGTCACATCCAATTGTGCTCAGGAGCTGCTCCATACTCAGGAATCACTCCTGGCAGTGCTCAGGGAATCATTGCAGTGCTGGGGATCGAACCCGGATATCCTGCACATAATTTATGTGCTCCAGGCTGTTGAGCTATTTCTCCATCCTGAAAAATGTAAATTTTAATAGAAATGTTATTTATATAAATTACAATTGGTATATTAATATCTCAAAAGAATAAACATATATTTCTGTTTTAATTTATAACATACTAGGTAACAGATTGAGAGCTGTTTGGGGATTTCTCAATAATTGTTGACAATGCAAAGGATTCCTGAATTAAAATGTCTGAGCACTGCTTATCTAAGCAATTAACTCTGGAAAAATCACTTAGTAATTCTGAGACTCAGTTTCCACATCAATAACTGAAATAATAAAATCTTCCCTTGTACTAACACTATTTGCATTAAATATGGACTTAGTTTGTAAACGTTTATATGGTAAGCTACCAAATAAATATATTTCTATTGTATTGTTAAAATAAATATTATCCTGTGACTTTTATTTTTAATACTGAAGCAAATAGTTTTATTTATGAGATGTGAGAGGAGAGAAAGAGAGAGACCTGTAAAGGAAGGAAAATTCACACCCCATGAGCTGGAATGCAGTGTGCCTCTTTATGAAACAAAGTTTTTCAGAGTCAAGGATGTATCCCACTACTCTCTTACCCCCAAAATTGGAACTTCACTAAGAAGCAGTCGATTTTACACCCTTTCCAAGCTGGTGGCTTTAGAATATTAGACATTTGTATTAAACAGTCCCAACTTCACTCTAAGAATTCGCTGGGATCCTAACAATATTCCTAACAATATCACAACTGATTTCTTACATAAAACCAATTTTAAAGCAATGCCTACTTTTATTAAGAAAGTAGATTAATTATAATGGCAAGCATTTTAAAATTTATGTCAGAAACACAACTATGACCGTGAAGTTCTCATGTTTGATTTTAATACATGCCATTTTGGATTAGTGGCTGTTGTATAGCAAAACTAGAAGGAACCGATAAAAAAAAGAAGTTTGGTAATTGCTGAACTCCTTTTTCTCTTCAAAAAGAAGAAAGTAGTAAAGCTGTCAATGTGTCAGGAAACAAGGTAGCTAAAAAGAGTCTATGAAGAAATGGTAGTGACCTCAGCTTATCGGACTGGAAGAGTTGTTTCCATAAATTTGCCAGTGTCAAAACTATGATGGCAATCATATTTGTGGGTAGCTCACAAAGTAGCATATGGGAGTCTGGAGGCCATTCCAGGTGATACTGGGCCAACAGGTTCAGAAAGTTCAGTGCTTGGAGTCTAGTGATAAGGCACTGTTCACACTAAGGAATGCTGGGGGTAACAAGGCTGCAGCGGTGGTGCCAGAGGGTCACCAAGAACACAGTAGGCAGTTCAGGTAGCCATGTAGGAGATGGAGCTGGAGTCCTCTTCCATGAAAGGCATTTATTACTCACCCCTAATATATCCCTCTGGTTCCAGAAATTGATTTGGGGGGAGGGATGGAGGCCACACCCAGTAGTGCTCTTGGCCTGGTGTCCAGGGATCACTTCTGGCAAGGCTCAGAGCACAATGTATGGTGCCAGGGTTGAATTCAGGTCAGCCATGTGTAAGGCAAGCATCCTTCCCACTCTACTATCTCTCTGCTCTGTCCCAGGAATCATAGTTTTATACTATGGCACTCACATGATTTGTGGCACTATCTTAAATTTATCAATTAGAAGTTTTCAGACTTTATCCAAATAATTTTCCAGAATAAACCACACAGGTGATTCTAGAAGACTTTAGAATTTAGAAAAGCACAAAGTATAAATGGAGACAAAATTTAGAAATCAAAAATTTTGGAAGTAGATAAATGTCAGGATCAATTCCTTGGATCCTAGTTGCTTTCAATGGAGTTGTAGAATACCTCCCAAATTTAAAAGTAGTTTCAATCTGAGTGTGAAGAATGAAAAACGCTTTCTTTTACCTTAAATCTACTTCCTTTAATTTTATGGGGTACCCCTTGCTCTAAAATACTGAGATTTGATATTTTATTCAACTTCATTTAATTATCATGAGCTTGTGCTTTAAAAGCCCACTGAAATATATTCCCTGGGAATATATTTCCAGAATGTCATGAAATAGTTTTTAATTTCTTTCCCTTATTTTGCAGTCTGGAGTATAGGCTGATCAAACACAGCTTTTAAAAATGAATTTATCATTGATTTACAATATTATGGGATTTCAGGGGTTTAGTTTCACTCCTCTATAAGTGTGTAATCATCATCACTCCCACCACCAAAGTTTCAGAGTCACCTCACCATTGCCCCCGCAAAAGACCCCTTTACCCAGTGCTCCTGTCTCTTTTCCCTTTCCCTCTGGTGACCACTGTCATTGTCACTGAGTCTAAAATTTTGTTATTTCTCATCAGTCACTGACTCCATTAATTCACATTCCACATGACTGAAACTACCTGCCATTATCTCTCATGCTGACTATTTTCACTTAGTGTAATCACCTCAAACTTTATACATCAACCTCCTATTTGACCCACCTTTGTCTCTAGTTTCCTTATATACCAGGTTTAAAATATAGTAACAAAGTTCTAGTCAAAATAAGACTAACGTGTACATAGAGACCTGAAGTCATTGACTATGGCATCAACTTCAGTAGCAATTGCAATTGGTTTCCACAAGTTCTCCTTAGGGAAAGGAGTGCTTATTGAACGTTCCTTATAAGGATGTATTTCAAACCTTCTGGCCATGGACTATACTGATGAATTTAAGCATTCTGATATAATATTAATCCTATCTGCCTCATCTATTTCATCAGTACTAAGTATCAAAAGTATTTCAGTGATTTATTTGTATATGTGCTCACTAACCATTAGTGTCCCTTCTTCACCGTTGCCATCAGAAGGGTAGACAATGTTGCTGGACCATTCCTCAGATCCTTCAGCACCTTCTGGATATGGTGGCATTACATTCAAAACTATAAGAAAATCATGGAGAGTAGAAGTTACTTAAGGGTGACAAATAACTACAAGAGAGAGGAAAAACTAATAAGCTAGGTTGTAACCTTCAACTGATCAAGAATGGTATCATTTTATAATAAAACCTTAGTTATTGTTTATTTCTTTAAAATTTTAGCATTTCAGAAAGGACCTGGAATGTCAGATACTTCTTTTATTTTCAAAGATGTTTTCAAGTTGGGTTGGTGGGAGAGTTATTACAAAGTCTATGTTAAATGACATTCTAGAGACTTATTTATCCCTTCTTAGAGAAAACTATGATGTCCAAAAATTCTTTCTGAAGCATTTTTATTGGTTCTACCCCAATAGCAGTATTTGTGATGTCTTAACCCTCTTCTTAGGCAAGAGTACATCATAGAAGTCATGTCTCATAAGAGCCTTGCATGTCAAAGGTGATTATTTAATAAAACACACTGGATTCATAGAAATTACATGAGCTGAAATAGGCAGAAAGATAATAGGATCTCATCTGGGCCACGTTCTGCTGTTAATGTAACCTTGGAGATGTGGCTTCACTTTCTCTAACTTTGTTTTCTCATCTATCAAAGGGAAAATATGAGTACTTGGTTCTCTCCTGACAGCTCTGGGTGCCAGCAGCCTAGATGACCTGGGAAAGTGAGGCTATCCCTAAAGGCTAGGGATTGGTATTGCCAATTTCTCCTCAATTAGCAAACTGTTGCAGATTAAAAGACATTTAAGCACTGGGCCCTTTGTTTGGCATTTCTCCAAGAAAGTCTAAGCTGTCCATCAGAGAGATGTTTGTGGGATCCTGACAGGTCCTTCCCTAGCACCCGTATTTCCTTGTCATACCCATCACATCTAATTTAAATTTCTTTTGAATTATCTTCTACCCTGACGTTTTTGTGAAGGTGAACACTGATGCATCTTAGTTAGCGTGTATGACCACTGAACTTTGAACAAGCCCTGGCATACAAGCTGTGTTCTGTTTGTTAAATCAGTGTGTGAAGTAAACTTAATTGATACAATCTGCATAAGAGAAACTGATGGCCAAGTTACATCCTTATATTGCCAAGTTTATCCCATTCACTAAGTCTGTAGTGAATGAGGTGTGAAATTCCTGAAGCCAATATATATGGTGGGGTTTTTTTCCCACCACATCCCATGGATCAAACCTTTGGAATCCTAAATATACATCAGAAAAAAATCACATAGAGAACTTCTTAAATGACAGACGCTGCATCTCACTCTGAGTTTCTGATTTAGAAGGGCCGAGATAGAACAGATAATTTGCCTTCCTCCCAAATTCCCAGATGATGATAACTTAATTGGTCCTGGAACCATTCTTTGACCATCACCATTTTGCAGCACACCCCCAGAGCCCTGTGGGACTTAAGAGCCTTATAAAAAGGAGTTGACTTTGTTCTTCTCTAGACAAGGATAATAGTTGTGCAGATTTTTCCAATTTAACAACAGGAGGCCAAATTTGCACCGTTTTCAGTCCTAGCCTTGCATGACCATTTCACATACCTTTATTTGCTTCTGCTTGAAGTGAGGCGATTGCCTTGCCGACCTCTGCCAGAGTGCCGCTGTGCTCTGATTTGATTTCCTCAGGGCCTGCCATCGCTCCGTGTTGCATTCTGAAATAGGAATTACGTCAAAGTCAGCTTTTGCAGAGTGTAAAAGTAACACAAAAATGTAGAAGAGTCTCCCTTTCACTGATCACATGTATTCAGTACGAGTTTTGACAATTCATTGGAGCAGAGTTGATTTCCTCATTATTTAACTCTGTGTGGTAATGGTTCATGATAAAAATTCACATCCTAGGATCAAAACTAGCAAGGCCTCTATGTATTTTAATGACTTTTTGTTGAATCAATGTAAATTACAAAGCTACAAAGATATTTAAGATAGAGTTTTAGGTCTACAATGTTCCAACACCAATCCTTTCATCAGGGTTCACTACTCTCCACAAATGTCTCCAGTTTCCCTCCTGCTCCTCTTCTCTCCCCCAACGCCCACCCCCCCCACACACACACTCACAGCCTGCCTCTGTGATAGGCACATTTCCCCTCCAAGAATGTCCTGGTGTTCCTTTACCTAACTTGTTCCCTCCACCCCCACCCCCATAGCAAGGCTCTCACTTTAACATGCAAGACAAAACAACTATTCCCTGGGGTCAAAGTGGGTACAGCGTTTTCCTTGTAGTGGCACACCTGGGTTTGATCCCTAGCATTCCTTATGGTCCCCCGAACCCACCAGGAGTGATCTCTAAGCACAGAGCCAGAAATAAGCCCTGAGTACTACTGGGTGTGGCCAAAATAGAACTACTTCCTTGTCGACTCTAGGCAGGTGTAGTATTCAAAATCTCCAGTGCTTATTGTATTGTATATTCGAGGTTTGCAATGAGGTGTATCTTTAATGTTCTCAGCATATCACACAAAAGACTAGCTAAAATGAGGGACTGCATAAAATGAGCTTAACTGCAATGAATATTTCACAGTATATATGTATGGCCCTCCCGTTGATCGTCGATTTGCTCGAGCGGGCCCAGTAACGTCTCCATTGGAGACTTTGTTGTTACTGTGTCTGGCATATCGAATACTCTCGGTAGCTTGCCGGGCTCTCCGAGAGGGGCGGAGGAATCGAACTCGGGTCGGCCATGTTGGCCGCTTGTAAGGCGAACGCCCTACCCGCTTTGCTATCGCTCCAAGTTATACTCTTTATTATATACAATGTTAACTGTCAACTATAATTCAGTGAAGTTGGAGAAGTATATAAACAACAAGAAATCCCTGGTGTTGGGGTTGGAGAGGGAGCTCCGAGGACTGGAGTTCATTCTTTGTATACTGGAAGCCCAGATTTGATCTCTGGAATCGCATGGTCTGAGAGTCACCAGAGCACTATATCAGGAATGGTCTTCATCACCACTTGGTATGAGTTTAGAAAAGTAGAAAAAAATCCTGATTCTCTATAAACTTTGAACCTTAATGAAATTAGATAACCTATTTCTAAATGACAATGAAATCTTAATCTCTTCCGTAACATTAATGGCTACTACAAAGTCAACTGCTACAGAAAATTGGAAGACTGCCTTCATAACAAATGTCAAAAGACTGAGTATTATGAACCCTGGTGTGAGACTTTCTCTGATTTTTATATGATTCTCATCATGAACCAACATGAACCAACACAATTTGCACCTAATTTCTGCTATCCCAGAGATGATATACAACAGAGGTTGGGGAATTTAGAAGTCATGCTGTGGCCCTACATCATAAAGATGTTGCCAGGAAATTTCTGTGTCAAGGTTTTGGGATCAGTGTAGGAAATATTTCTGTATCTACACTAATGTTCTTTGGAAACTCTGCTTTTTAGGGTTCCTAGAGACAGAGACTCCAAAACTATGCCTTTAAACCAACAACTGCTGTCATTTGGGGACTGCAAACTTGCTATAAGCTTTTGTTATATACTGGTGAGGGAGAGCATTTATAATCAAGTTTTAAAATTAGCACAAGCTACTGTATTATTTTTTTAACATCAAGGCAAACAATGGCATAAGGATGACCAGGTTGCACGCATAAATAAGGAGATACTAAGAAAACAATGTGCTTTGGAAATTTGATGGATTATTACTCTAAGGGCAGGTGGAATTTTGTCTGAGATGCCTTAAATGCACTGTTTCATGTTACCTAGAGAAAACAAAAGATGTGAAAAAGGGATTTGTTTTCTTTTATTATAAAGATCACTCCTGACAAAGTGCTCTAAGGTCACCAGAGTCACAGCTGACAGTGCTGGGGAAGTCATCAGGGATATAGCTGGTGGTGCTCAGGAGGTCATGCGGTCCCACAGACCAAACTCAGGGTCTTTCACCTGCCAGGCATTTTCTCTAACCCCCTTCATAAAGATACTTCATAAAGCATAATCACACAGGGGTCCCCAAATGGCCCTGTGACATCAACTTTGCCTGTTTGTGGCCATGAGTTCAATCCCTGGTGTCACCCACAGATGCTGAGCTTGGTCCCTATAGAGCTCTGCAGTCTGAGATCCCCAATAGCAGAACAGAACAGAGCAGAGCATCCAGTTGGGTATGTGCATGCCTCTGTGTGTACGTGTGTGAGAGTACCACAACTCAAAGGAAATAGGAAAACGCTATAAGCAGAACTGCAAGTCCTGTGAGTAGGTGTGTGAGCACAACATCGACCATGGTGAGCACTATGACTAAAATGAGCATGAGCCCCACAAGGAAAGTCTGTGCTCCACATGCACCGCAGCCACTAGCGCAAGCATGCCAACCCAGCATGTGTGTGTGACCCCTGGTTCATGGCAAGTGCAAGAGCAAAGGAAGGGGAAGCAAGGGGCAGGGAAAATATTTGCTCACTCGTAATTTTGCTGAGAAGACAGCTGCTCCTGTACTGTTGGTAGAGAAGGAGACATTTGTTTTTTAACTGTGAAACAAATGCAGACCTTACACAAATCATTCAGATGTCACATTTCTTTTCCTCCTCTAAGACCAATCAATGACTTTCATATGTACTCACACCATCCACAGACTTGAAACCACCACAAGAAAGGCCAGTCTGAACTTGAAATATGGAGGTGACTGAGCCATGTCATGTTTTCTTCAAGAAATTCAGGTTAATAACTCAAACCACACTCAAGAAGCAGAGATTATTGGAGGTCCGAAGCAAAGCCTCATGGGAAGAATTTAGAATTAACAGTTTGCTAGATTATTTCCCTGCTGCATCTCATGTACTGGAGATTATTTTCTACTGTAAAGTTCATTCTCCTCAAAGGTTTAAACAACCCCCTGAATCTTGATCTCCTGCTAATTAGCTTTAAAAAACCATCTGATTATAAAAAAGGAGAAAGTAAATGTCAGCCTCATTCCCTGTATAAGTTATGATCAAATGTGAGTCAATGAGCAGTCACCGTACTTCTTGTTCCAAAGTATCGCAAGCTTGATTGTACCTGTCAAAACTTCCTGTTGCTTCAACAAAATACTTCTCAATTCTTTTAACCACGCCAGCTTCACATCTAGATTCGGAGCCTAAATATTAAAATAAAAAAGGAGGGGAAGTGTTACGGAGAAGAGGTCATCTTTCTTTTAAAAGATGCATTATAATAAGAAAAAAGGTATATTATAAAACAAATGCAATTATGTATAACAAACCTAGTCCACATCCTCATCTACTCTGTCTACGCTCTATCATTGCAATTCATCAAACATCTCTGGAGCAAATTTTCATCAGATCAAAGGAAGCAGTAGTCAAAACCATTTTGAAATTGCATTTAAATAAGAATGCTCAGCAGAAAAATGTGAAATATACATCACAATCACAAATCATCCTGTTAATCGTTGATTGCCTCGAGCAGGCCCCAGTAACGTCTCCATCCTAGCCCTGAGATTATATTCAAGGCTCTTTAGGAGAATGAGACCCATCATTGTTACTGGTATTTGGCATATTGGGTACGTCACGGGGAGTTTGCCAGACTCTGCCGTGTGGGCAGGTTACATTCGGTAGCCTGCCAGTTTGTCCAAAGTAGGAATGAGATAATAAGATGTCATAATAGGATGTCGCGCGGCCGCTGGTTTTTATGTCCGGGAGCTGGTTTTTATAGTCTCTTAGTCTTGGCCATTGATGGGATTACACGGCACCAGGGGGCCAGTTTGTGAAATATACATATCATTGTTTATTTTTCTTTAAAGGGGGGTTCTTTTAATATTTAATTGTCTGGTGTCAGAGCAATAGTGCAGAGAGTAGGGCACTTGCCTTGTACGTAGCCAACCTGGGTTCTATGACCAGCACTCCATATGGTCCCTGGAGCCTGCCTGGAGTGACCCATGAGGAGAGGGCTAAGAATAAGCTCTGAGCAGCACTAGTTGTTGTCCACCTACCGCCCCCAAATTGTGTAAATGGTTTTAGGTGAAATGTTGGTAAAATTAAGCAAATAGTGCTATGTCTGAAAAGACAGTTTATTACAGAACTTATGGTTGCCTGAAAGTTTTCTTCCCTGGTCTTACATCCAAATCAAACAAGAAAAATCATTTTTATGACTGATAATGATCTAGTACAGAATTAAAGAGAAAAAATACTGAGTTCTTTCAATAGATAAGAGCACATTCACCTGGCACAAGAAATGAAACACTTTTTTGACATGAAAGCATTCTCCCGAAATGCTGTCATTTCTCCCCCCTTCTCTGAAAAGGTTTGAAAATTACTGCACATCTGTCCAGAGTTTTAATCATATTCCTTCAGAACAGCAATCATATCTGAACTATCATACTCCCATATCTTGTAACTAAGCATTCTCTGAATGTGAAGCACAAAAGAAATCAGAATTGATATAAAGGTCCTAACAATTGCAGCTTGATCATAACAGAGAAAAGCCTGCCAAGCTCTTGGCTTTCAGCTATGGTCATTAAGTTTCCTGGTACAAGTTTTGGAAACTTATAGAGCACTAGAAATCATTATAGACAACTGAAGGTAAAGAATACATTTGCTCCTGAAAAGCAAGGAAAAATTTTAATGGTATCTGTGTGAAATAGAACTTCTGTCATGTAACCAAAAATAATTTTGTTTACAAATGTAGATAGTGATCTGTCAGTTTCCCTAGATGAAATTTTAACATTGGAGTTTTAACATTGCAATGCAGGCAATGGTTCCTACAATAATATTTAAATAACCAACCTGAACAATGTAAACTTCTTCCTTCCCACCACACCAGATTTCAAATTTGCGGGTATCGCCTTTTACATATTCAGTAATTCCAACTTCTTCCAACTGCAATATACAAGTTGAGATATTTTTCATGTGCATTCTGTTTTGAATATAATCGCATATCTACCTCAATAATCATATTTTGAATGAAACAGAATTTCTCACTTGAGCAGAATACTTTATATTCATTAATAGGAAATGATAAATATGATCATACGAACGCCTGCATTTTAAGTAATTTCATTGTCTTACACTCTCCTCCATCCTCTTTTCTTTCAATTCCTATTCCAGTTTCCTAAAGGACTATGTCACTCTTTATCCCATTTGTGAGTCCGCCAAATAACCCTCATTATATTTTTATGGGAAATTCTTTTTTTTAATTTTTATTAGTGAAACATCATGAGGTACACAGTTGTAGACTTACAAATTTTTTGCTTGGGTTTCAGTTAGACAATGATCGAATGATAAAGTACCCATCCCTCCACCAGTGTCCATTCTCCACCACCAATGATCCCAGTATCCCTCCCACACCCCCCATCCCCCCCATCCCACCCTGCCTCTGTGGCAGGGCATTCCCTTTTGTTCTCTCTCTCCTTTTGGGTGTTGTGGTTTGCAAGAGAGGCATTGAGTGGCAATCATGTTCGGTCTATAGTCTACATTCAGCATGTATCTCCCATTCTGGGAGGATCCTCCCAACACCCTTTATTTGGTGCTCCCTTCTCTATCTGAGCTGCCTTTTCCCCTGGCATGTGTGGCTGGCCTCCAAGCCATGGAGTGAACCTCCTGGTACTTGTCTCAGCTCAAATCACCCTCATTAAAGGTGGTATTAACAGTAGTGCTAATGAGGGGCTGGAATGATAGTACAGCAGATGGGGTGTTTGCCTGGAACACTGGGTAGAGGGATGGGTATTTGATCATTGTATAATTGAAACCCAAGCACAAAAATTTGTAAGTCTGCAACTGTACCTCATGATATCTCACTAATAAAAAAGTGTAGCTAGCTTGAAATGTATTTGGTAATATTTGTTATAAATGTATTATAATGATGGATGTATTAGGTTTTAGGTAAAAATAGTAAGTGAATCTATTTTTTGATTTTTGGCTACAATCTGCAGTTAGCAGTGCTTACTTCCATCTCTGTATTCAGGAATAACTCTGGGCAAGGCTTACGGGACTATATGGGGTGCCAGGGAATTGAATCTGGGTTGACAGTGTGCAAGGCAAGTTTTTTTACCCACTGTACTATTGTTCTGGCCCTGTAAATGGTTTTATCTTGAAAATTGTTTAGTTTTGCTAAAATAATTGCAAAATAATCACAAAAAGTGCAATCCATATATATCAAAACCATGCACAGAACATTACAATAGTATACATTTAGCAAAAGGACACTAAAGGACATAGATCAAGTAAACAAGAACAGTGGCTATAAGCGCAGAAAGGAGATTTACTATTGGAGAATGAGGATAAAAATAATGTAAAAATCAAAGAACAGGGGATAGAATGATAGTACAGCAGGTAGAACATTCTTCCTGTTAGTAGTAATTCCTGAGCAAAGACCCAGGAGTATAACCTGGGTATGGCCCAAAAGCCAAATTAAGACAAAGAATGAACAAGATTAAGACTTTTCCTGCATACAGCAGTGATAAAGAGAATGGATCCTGGGGCCATCTGCTTGGTATTGAACTTGCTTTATCCTACTTACTAGCAATGGGCTCTTGAATAAATGATGTTCTAGAACTCAGGTTTCATGTCTGCAAAATTTGGAACTGTCTTCTAATAGTTCCAAATTCATTTAAAGTTGTAATGCACTTTAACTAATAGTGATTTTTGTAAGCACTTCAAACAGTTCTTAGTACACAGTAAGCACTTAACATATGTTTGTTACATTAAAGAATGGATGATTATAAATTCATGAACTAGGAATCTGAAGAATTTCAGTATGTCCATCGGACTGTGACCAAGGCCTTTCCTTTCCAGAGAAATTGCTGCTTCAAAATAGAGCGCACATCATTAGAGAGTGTACACAGACCAGTGAATGCATCTTGATAGGGTGAAGTCAAGGAAATAGTCTTTGAAAGAGAAGGAAGATCTTCGGCTGCAGAGAGGATCTGTCAAGGGGAAAACTTTGAAGCTAGTAAGCCAGTTGTCACATCAGACACTGACTCGTAGTTCTAACAATTATTTAGCCATAGATTTTCATGATAGGTAAGGAAGATGGGATGAGTACAGCTCAACTTCCTTTTTTTTCAGTAATATCGCCTTTTTGCTAATAATTCCTCTCCCCATCCTTGCGAAAATGACTTATTCTCTTTGATTAAGGAAACTACTAGGCATTATTGAAAAACAAAAGGAAATCAGAGTGATTTCCAACTCCCCTTGAAATGTCAGATATTATTTATTTGCTGAGTCTAGTAAGTCAACAATCCCATCTGTCTACCTCCCATGGAAATGTTTCTTGCATCTATCCTACCTCTGTTTCCATGGTAACCGTTGAATTCTCACAGTTTCAGTAACTCATACAAGTCCCTCCTTATTCTGAAGGACTCTAGAAATACTCTGTTGGTGCGTACATTACTGTGACACATTCAAAATAAAAGGAGACAGCAAGGATGATAACTCAAGTGGTAGGGGACATTCTTAGCATGTTCAAGGCCCCAAGTTCATTCCCTGGCACCACAAGCATCCTAAGAACTATCAGTGGAGATGGCTCATATACAAAAATTAAAAAATTAAAATGCAATGTAAATCAGAAATAATACCATAGTCTTTACTAGGTGATACCTCAAATTTTTTTTTAAAAAAGTGAAACAAATAGATTTGGGTTAAACACACTGAGGAAGATAAAGTAGCTTCTCAACCACCAGGTAACAGATAGCTGGAAACCAGATCCCTAGCTGATGTGAATGACAAATTCATGTGTTTCAATGTTAATTTTAAAAAATTTGGATGAGAAAGTAAAGGATGCTTGGAGGGCTCACTCAGGATGGGAGATGCGTGCTGAAAGTACACCAAACATGACGGAAACTTAATACCTGTATTGCAAACCATAACACCCCAAAGGAGAGAGGGAAAGAGAGTAAAAGGAAATATGCCTTCCACAGAGGTGGTGGAATGGGGTAGGGATGGCGGGAGAGCTACTGGGAACATTGGTGGTGGGGAATGGGCACTGGTGAAGGGATGGGTACTCGATCATTGTATGACTGACACATAATCACTAAAGTTTGTAAGTCTATAACTGTATCTCAAGGTGATACATTAAATAAATAAATAAAGGTAATACTTAGAGATGCATGAAAAAAATGGGTGGGATTGGGCCATGCCCAGAAGAACTTACAGATTACTTCAGGTTCTGTGCTCATGGATTACTCCTGGTGGGGTCAGGGGACCATATGGGACCCAGAGGATCAAAAACGCATCAGTCATGTGCAAGGAGAGCGTGTTACCCACTAAACTATCTCCCCAGTCCCTTTCAATGTTTATTAGAGACATGAAGCTCCTTGTAGATGAAGTGCTTGGAGGGCGGTCCCAAATATTAAAGGAATGACTGCACTTATTGTGATAACAATAAGAGTCAGATAGATGTTTTAGCACTGTGATGGGTTCAGAAGTGAAGCAGGAAGACTGAGACATAGTACAGCTGTAAAGGCACTTGCCTTGCATTCAGCTGACAGACCAGGATTAAATACCCATCACTGCTTATGGTCTCCAGAGTAACACCAGGAATGATTTCCAAGTACCAAACCAGGAGTAAGCTCTGAGCTCTACCAGGTGTGCCCCACAAACCAAAAACAAACCAAAAGAAAAAGTGAAGCAAGAAATGTTAACAGCAGTTAAAAGTCATAACGGTGGGCAAGTTAGAAACATCTAGTAGCTGCTGACCTGGCAGGAAGAATCGAAAGCAATCCTTGCTTATTTGGTTTTATTAGTTTATTTATTTATATTTATTTTATTATAATAAATAATAATAAATGATATTTATTATTATTTATTTGATATTATCAGTTTCCTGATCTCAGGTCAAGTATTCAGCTTCCTGATATTCAGGTCTCAAGCCACACTTCCTGTCCTCTGGGTGGTATACCACTGGTAAAAGTTTCCTCAGTTAGGGGCTGGAGTGATAGCACAGCGGGTAGGGCATTAGCCTTGCATGCAGCCGACCAGAGTTCGATTCCTAGCATCCCAAAGGGTCCCCCGTGCACCATCAGGAGTAATTCCTAAGTACAGAGCCAGGAGTAACCCCTGAGCATCACTGGGTGTGACCCAAAAAGCAAAAAAAAATGTTTCATCAGTTAGCCAATATACCAGCAATGACAACTAGGAAAGCACATATTCCTGGGGGGAGAATGTGATAGTGGTTGGGATTCCACTTTCTCAATTTTCTATTACAAAATGGCTCCATTTGTAACCTTTAAAACTTAAAATATAAAATTAGTAGGGTTGAGAAAACAAAATTTCCCAAATACAGACTTGTATAAACTGGAATTTCCTCTTGTCAAAAGTCAAAAATCTTTTAGGAGTATCACTGGCTTGCTAGTAACTCCCCCCCCCCCAAAAAAACTGCTCTTATTGTAATACTAAATGTGAGAACAGAATGGTCATTTTGGTTCTCGAAGAGAAGAAAATAATTTCAAAGACATGGGAAGTGTGGAAAGGATTCAACTAAGGTCAGAACTTGGAAACCCAGGAAAGGAACAAGTCAGTGAAGGAAAAGGAAGACTAAAAGACTGGGTGGAGATGCTAAACACAAAATGTTAGCCCCTTTTTTGTTGTCTTTGTTTATCTGGGGATTACTCTCAGTGGTGCCCAGGGCTATCTCCTGGCTCTGTGCTCTAGGGTCATTCCTGACAGTGCCAGGGATAGAACCGAGTCAGCGAACTACAAGGCAATTGCCTTAACCCTATATCTCAAGTTCCACCTTTTCTCTATCCCTTTTTATAGTGCATCAAAGAAAAGGAAGAAATTCCTTCCCCTTCGTCTTTCTTGTGTGACAAAAACTCCTTGCTGCCAAGATGAAGTACCTCACCTAGTACCAATTGTAAAGTAGTGCTTCCTAGGGAGTGCCTGAGTCACTGTTCACAATTTCAATCTGCGCCTGCAGGACACCGGAGCATCCCTTTGGAGACCGTCAGGGACAGGAGTAAGAAAAGAGAGGAAAGCATGGGAAGGGGGCCGTTCCCGGCTCATCCTTCACGCCCTACCGAGGTCACGAGTTGCCCCCCGGCATGGCCATGGCTCCAGAGCCACAGAAACCAATCTCATAATTATCTGGCTCTCGGCAGAAATACGTCCGGGCTTAATAAGTAAAATATTAGAAATCCAAAATCACGCGGCCGCAATAGCGGCCACGCGACATCATTTGGTACTTGCAACCAGCTGTAGAAAACAAATTATTTCACAATGCCTTTTCAGCAGGTCTGATTTGGGGGTGTAAACTCTAAACAATAATGGTGCATCTCTTGTGGAAACAATGAATCTAATCAAAGTAGATAGAGTGTTAATTAGAATTCATCTGCCTCACAGGCATTGGGAGCGGCGGGAGGGGGTGTATATTGGGGTTCTTGGTGGTGAAAAATAAGTGCTGGTGAAGGGAAATATGTTTGATCATTGCATGACCGAGACTTAAACTTGAAAGCTTTGTAACTTTTCCCACGGTGATTCAATATATAATTTTAAAAAATACAAAAAAAATTTTAAAAATTAAAAAAAAAATTTAAAATTTTTAAAAATACAAAAAAAGAGGAAAGGACAAAAAGTTCTCCCCTTCCTTATTCTCACTGCAGAGAAATCTTTTTTTATCCAGCATCTATGCAAGAGTTCTGCATAAAAGAAAGGGATGTGAAGCCAAAGTATAAACTCCAGTCTTTTAAGCTGAAATGATAGATACAGAGAGATAAAACAATATTATAGTACTATACAATTTAAATGGTCTTACATTCAAACTGTGCTTAAAACTGTAGGAAGGATATTTAGCAGCTCCTTCTCCAGTTTCACCACGCCTTTTGCAAAACACAATGGCTTTTTCATACAAGAAAATTTGTCGCTGCATTGGCTTGAATCTGGCAAATTCCTTCATTTTGGTGGCCCCCTTCCTGTGTCCTGTCCACACGCTGAATGCATTTTGTGTGATCATCTTGCCCAGATCATTTATGTTTCCCTAGAATGGAAAATGAACACTCATTTGAAGAAGGCACCACTACATTCAGATGAAATTTTCACCGTGAAAATGCTTTGCTGAAAATGTCTCACGGTTTACCAGAAGAGTCACTTAGAGCTTTGTAAAATGCCATTCATCAAGAACCTGAGGTGATGATGGTAAGTGAACAAATGAGAGAGACAAGTACTGGAGAGGTTTCACTTTGATGCAGAATGTGAATCACTAAATAAAACAAACTGGCAAGCAGTAAGAAAAACAAAATCCTAAGCTTTTGTGAAACTATAGTCGTCACTAGAACAAAAGGAGAGGGCTTGGAGTAATAAGGAAAGGGGCTCATTGTAGCAGGATGGTACTAGAAATACCATGAAAAAGAAGTGGAAATAAATTCTCTTAAATATAGAGGTACTAGACAGCACTGTCTGTACTGTGCTGGACTGGACTGGACTGTCCTCCCATTGTTCATGGATTTGCTCCAGCGGGAACCAGTAACATCTCCATTGTGAGACTTGTTACTGGCATACCAAATACGCCACAGGGAGCTTGCCAGGCTCTGCCGGGTGGGATACTCTCAGTAGCTTGCGGGGCTCTCCGAGAGGGGCAGAGGAATAGAACCCGGGTTAGCCACATTCAAGGTAAACACCCTCCCTGCTGTGCTATCGCTCCAGCCCCTCAAATAGAGTCAAGAAGCTAAATCCCTGAAGCTACACAATCTTGGAGATCAATGATAACTCAATACACATTACAAAAATTGTTCATATCTTTTTACACGGAAACAGTCACGTGTCACGTATGGATAAAATTACTGTTAGGCGTAGGAGATAGGAGAAATCTCATTTCCCCTGACTGTGACGCCACGTGAATGGATCGCATTTAGCTTAACTGGCTCCATCTCTTTCTCAGTCCTGATTGGTGAAAAAAAATCTACCAGTCCCAAGTTTCTCCACTAGGGGGAGCCAACTCTAAAGAGTTGATCTTTTTTCCGCTCTATCTATCCTAGACTTGGGCAAGCAGCAATTCCGGGATAATACGTCTTCTTACAAGACCCAGGTAGTTCTTCTATCAAGATCTGAACTTGAAGGAAGGCTGTTGGGGGCAAGAATAATGTCACAAACCATTTGACGGCTAGTCTTTAAAAGTCAATTCTTCGCATAGGCATTATTAGCAATACTGCTGACATTTGGTTGTCCATTTATCTAACTTCACAGGTGGTTCCAGGCGAGGAAGAAAGGAATGTTAATAAAGTTATCCTTTAAAAAGCAATAATCTTTAAAATTGACTTACCTTATAGCCATTTATTGCAACCTGATGCATAGAGTCATTAACTGATTTCAGCAAATCCAGCATTGCATCAAGTGCCTCCTTTAACTGATCGACTCCAACACAGTCTTTGCTATATTTTAATAGCTCCTGGAATTAAAAATAAGGAATTAAATTTAATATTTGACAGATATTAATAGCCGGAGAGGATGAATAACTTTTTGGTTAACACACTTTCAAGAAAAAAATCAAAGATAATGTCAAGTCTTTGAGTAATTTCTTTCACATTCCACATTATTGCTATATTTAATAACAATGTCAAATTGGAGAAAGAAATGAAGTAGTGATTAAACAGCATAAGGCAAAGGGCATTCAATGCTTTTGGAGCCGAAAGACAATAGCTATTAGGACACCCTAGAGATTAAGTATTAAAGCAATTGTACATCTTTGGATCCTCTGCATAGGACATTTTGTTTTGTTCATCATGCACATACCATAGAATATTATGAAAAATATTTTTATGAAAAATATTTTAAATAAGTTATGTTTCATTGATAATAAATACATTTTACTTCGTTTTTCACATCACATGGAGTGTACGCGATCTTCATTTATTGAGAAGTCTCACATGGAAAACAGCCTCAAAAATCTAAGATTCGTCTGGAGAGAAAGTACAGTGGGTAGGGCCCTTGCCTTACACACGGTTGAGTTGGGTTCAATTCCCAGAATCCCATATGGTGCCCCAACCACCATCAGAAGTGATTCCTGAGTACAGAGCCAGGAGTAACTCCTGAGCATCACTGGATGTGACCCAAAAGAAATCTCCAAGAGTTTTTAGTTCTGCTTAGTAGTTTAAGTTCTTACACACAGAGACCAGTGTAAGCTCTGTCCAAACAAACAAACACTGTCCTCCCGTTGTTCATCGGTTTGCTCCAGCGGGCCCAGTAACATCTCCATTTTGAGACTTGTTGTGACTGTGTTTGGCATATCGAATATGTCACGGGAGCTTGCCAGGTTTTGCCGTGCGGGTGAGAAACTCTTGGTAGCTTGCCAGGATCTCAGAGAGGGGCAGAGGAGTCGAACCCAACTCGTCTGGGCTGGTTGCATGCAAGGCAAATACCCTACCGCTATGCTATCGCTCCAGCCCTGCTAACGCTCCAGTGTAAGCTCTACATGTAAACAAATAATTTAAATGTTCCAAAAAAAAAAACAATTTCAGAGATTCTTGAATTTATATACTTCTCTTCCTTTGGCATGTAAAACACCATAGGGAAGGGGCAAATGGCATTGATTCCCTGGCTAATTCCATCTTTCCCAATTACTAAGCCTACCCATATCTCATACTTCAGTCAATAACTTTCTTTTCAATAGCTTTGCCACATCTGACCCAGAGAAAGGGGAAGTAAAGGAAGGAAGGAAGGAAGGAAGGGAGGGAGGGAGGGAGGGAGGGAAGGAGGGAGGGAGGGAGGGAAGAGGAAGAAAGAAGGAAAGGTCTCCTGTAATTACCTTCAACAGTAACTGGTACTTAGTGATTCTCTGCACTGGTTTGAGCAGATAGGAATCCAAACCAAGTCTGTGTTTTAATTTCCTTTGGCATTCCTGTCATTAAAATATAATTAACAATAAATTTAAATTGGTATATACCTGTAAAAATATAAAGTATTCTTTGATTAGACCCAAGGAATGCATAATTCTTAAATCTCACTAAAGGAGAATTTACCAGAAAAAATTACTGTTACATATTGTTTAATAATTAAAGAGATAGTTGAAAAGCTGTAAGTAAACATTATTGCAAAGTTATGAGAGGTAGAATATTTTAAAATTTTGAACACTGAAGATATTTACATGTAAGTTCACACTGATATCACATGTTTTTAAGGTAAAAATGCAGTGAATGACCATAGGTGAATATGACCAAGAATATCTCCTGTTAAAGAACTATCCAAGACAATTTTAAGTACTCAGCTACATAATAAAAGAACTGAAGGAAAAACAGATGGCCTGAATACAAATTCCACTGATCTTGAGAAAGGATTTTTTCAAACCACAAGAAAAACATAGACCTCATCAATTGGTGCAATATTTTATCTGATTGTTGGCTTACCACCACTGTAAATATAAGGGTCATGACTAGATACTGGGAAAGTTGTCGGGTCTGTAACTAGGACAAAATGGGGTTGATTAGGATTCAATGTACATATATGAAGTGTAGCATAGAAAGGGAGTGAGTGAAAAGGAGAGAGAGCAAAAAGGAATGCCCTGCCACAGAGGTGGGGTGGGGTGGAGGGGATGGGTTTGGGGTGGTGGGGGCGATGCTGGGATCATTGGTGGTAGAAAATGGGCACTGGTAGAGGGGTGGGCACTCAATCATTGTATGACTGAAATGCAAGCACGAAAGTTTGCAAGTCTGTAACTGTACCTCACACTGATCACTAATAAAAAATCAAAATATTAAAAAAATTAGAAAAAAGAATGGGAGGGGGTTAAAGAGCCAGGTCTCTCCTTTCAATATGGATAAAATCTAATATATGATCACACTCAAATAATTTTCAATTTATAGGTTGATATATTTATTGAGATTTCTTTAATCATGAAGATAAAATTCAGTGAAATATAATGGTTCAATATACTGCTAACAAATTTATATAACTTATAATTTGGAGAGTTTGGAGTAGAATAGAATAGGTATTTAAGAAATGAAATGAGCCAGAAATACAAAATCAAGAAAATCAGAATGAAGAAAACTCAGTCATATTATACTACATTGTATCATATGATTAATTTGTTAATAGATATGATAGAATCAAAATATAGATAACATATAGATATTAAAGAGCCTTAGCACTGTAGCACTGTCCTCCCATTGTTCATCGATTTGCTCGAGCAGGCTTAGTAATGTCTCCATTGACCTGTTGTTACTGTGTTTGGCATCTTGATTATGCCACGGGTAGCTTGCCAGGATTTGCCATGAGGGTGAGATACTCTTGGTAGCTTGCCAGGCTCTCCGAGAGAGGCAGAGGAATTGAACCTTGGTCAGCCAGGCCAGCCACATGCAAGACAAATGCCCTACCCGCTGTGCTATCGTTCCAACCCTTATATAGACTCTTAATACTTCAATACTATATATGAAGGTAATCAAAGTTGTATATAACTTTATTGAACAATATGGGGGAAAAATGATGTGTGTCTCAATCATGTTGGTGGTGGTTATGATGATGGTAGTGACAGGGAAGGGAGAGTAAAAGTGAGCAAAATCCCCATTTCTCATAGTACCAACACAAACATATTACCTGGAGAGATAGAGTACAAAAAATAGTTTGTGTATGTGTTTGGTCAAATCTTTCTTAAATCCATCTATTCATTTATATAACATATACCTATATGGCAGTCTCCTGCCCACACACCTGGCTGTCCTCACCGGGGCCCCTTGGAGGGGGGAGGGTTGAGTTTCTTTCCCCCCACCCCCAGCCCCGAGCAGAGCCCCAGCAGCTGAGGACCTCCGGAGTCAGCCATGGCCATGCTGGAACCACTCTCCACACATCCAAACGGGCCTCGTGCATGAAAGAACTGGCAGAGGAACCCAGGCATGCGGGTCCCGGGGCTGAGGTCTCCAAGCCTACTAGGATTGGGACTGGGCCTTCTCCAACCAGACCCCCCATCTTCCAGTAGGTAGGCATCACACCCACTAGCTGCCGCCAGCGCCAGGTTGGTCCCATCAACGGTCAAGACGCAGAGACTATAAAACCCAGCTCCCGGAAGTGGGCGGCCGCAAATGTGGCCGCACAACATCTTATTATCTTTCCTTTGGAGAACCTGGCAGGCTACAAAAAGTATCCTGCCCGCACAGCAGAGTCTGGCAAACTTCCCGTGTCGTATTCAATATGCCAAATACCAGTAACAATGATGGGTCTCATCTTCCTAATCCTGATAGGGCATCGAAATGATTCTTTTAAAATCTCAGGGCTAGGTAGAAGGAAACGTTACTGGTGACTGCTCAAGACAATCGACGAACAACAGAATGATCGTGATCGTGATTGTGATACCTATATATATACCCATCTATATATGAATATATTATCTATCTATATAACTTAGAGTAGAAAGTGATTTTATAAATAAGAAATAGTCTAGTATCTTTTAGAAAAAGGATACCAATACCTGAATTACTATACCTGAAAAAAGGCGCATTCTGAAAACTTTTTCCAAACTGCCTCTGATCTGGGTTTATTCTGACAATACACTGCATATATCTTAAAATCATCTTTCTGTGATAAATATAAAATTCAAATGTATTATTAATTCTGAATATGTACTTTTTAAATAGAAAACTCTAGAGAAAATGAATGTGGTAAGTATTATAAGGAATGTGACCTAAATGGCCTGCTATATGGAAGTTGGTTGGGATCTCCTTTTACAAGAACAGTATTCCCAACAGAACAAGCGAAGGGATATCACTACCCAAATAATTTCACAACTTGCTCATACAGTGCTGAGAGTTAGAGAAACGCCTTCCCTGGCTGAACCATAAATCAGACTAATATTTTCATATCTGTGGGAAAATGGGTATCAAGAAGTATGTTCTTTCTGGTTATTAGTATCTTGGTTCCCTAATGAACGAATTTGTGGCTAACTTCCAGGATCCTTACTCCATCACATGAGACATCATCATTGCATCATAACCACACAAGCCATCTATCCATGATATTCATTACCTCTGGAATCATCTGACTCTCATGTAATGAGTTACCTCCTACTCTTTAACAGTCATATAATGAGATAGCTCTTGTCTAAGCCCTTATTTATACCTTCAATAGATGTAAGATGACTTTTTGAACCTTTTATAAATCTCCAATATAGCACAACTCACACAGATTTGAAGTCTTGAACTTGGTATCTGCATTGCTTATCACAGTGCTTGGCATATAGTAGGTGTTCAATGATAGTGATAAATGAATAAACATAAACATTTACGATACTACTACTTCTAGTTGCCAAGAACTGTGCTAACCTCATTAGCAACACAAAAAATATATAGGCTATGGACCATGCCGCAGAGACTTTTTCATCTAATTGGAGAGATTGCATATTACATAGTACATTTACTTAGTGAATGTAAAATCCCCAATGAGTAACACAGACATTAAGTACTATAGAAGTCCAAACAAAAAGACACCCTGCTGCTGCTAAGAGAACCAGGGAAGAATTTGACCAGAGTTTAAATGTGTTTACAGTCGTGTTGAAAAAGGTAATGATCCACAGTTCTTTCTTACACTTACTATTGTTTTGCTCCATAAACACTTTCTAGGATATCTATTAAGAAGTTTTCAATGACCAATCCAATTTACTCTCAAATAAAGTCTGAACTGATCTTTAGGGAGGTATTAGAGAAGCAGAGAACATTCTAAGAGAAAAAAAAATCTCTAATGGGAGAGAGTGGGACTACACAATGTGGGTAGGCAGTTGTACTAAGTACAGTCTTTGGGCATAGAGAAATGAGTTTCCCTAAATGACCTCAGAGAATTAAAAAGCACAGGCAGCTCTCTCCCCTTTGCAAATTTGAGTTGATTCTATGTGTAGTACAGGGAAATACCGGGGCATCTTTTAGACTAAAATTAACTAAGCGAAAAACAGATGTATGAATATTATCCCAACTCTAACATCATAGGCAGGAGGGCCCTGGACTCCTGGGATCACATTAGGGGTGATTATTTACTAACTGGGAAATTGTAGCATTGAGTATCACAGCACACAATGGTTACTGCATGCTCAGGATAACTTATTGTATCACTTTCTGTAATAAAAACTTTGTACAGCATTGACTACCTGTTGGATATGTCTCTTCCCAGAACATAAAGAAATAAAAAAATGTCCATCTTGGTCTCATCATTTATCTGCCCTTATAAAACCAGTTTCTATTTCAGTGGCCCATGTGATGTATTTTCAAATAATAATTTAACTAACCCTTTCCAGGAAACAAGGTCCCACTCTTTCTGGAGCATTCATGCAATTTTCCAGACTACTCATGAAAATGCTGTGAAAGAATCAGAGAAATAAATAAGACATGATTTAATGTGAATCTAATAAATCAGTGAGAAATTCCTTAAATAAATTCACAAAAAAGAATATTCATCTTGGCAATTACATACTTGTTGTGGAATTCATATATTTCTGCCATGTTTCCAAAGAGAATATCCTTTTTGTTTCTCAGGAGAGGTGGCATAAGACCAAACATCGCTGGATTATCCATCTCTGCTCTATAGCCCTATCGAAAACAAACACATTTATTAGGTTAAAAATTATTCACACTCCCAAGAGTGGACCAGATTAGTACCAGGAATTTTGCTCCATGGCTTGGAGGACAGCCACACATGCTAGGGGAAAAAGTAGCTCAGATAGAGTAGGGAGCACCAAATAAAGGGTGTCGGGAGAATCCTCCCAGGATGGGAGAAGCATGCTGAAAGTAGACTATAGACCAAACATGATTGCCACTCAATGCCTCTTTTGCAAACCAAAACACCCAAAAGGAGAGAGAGAACAAAAGGGAATGCCCTGCCACAGAGGCAAGGCGGGATGGGGGAGATGGGCGGGGTGGGAGGGATACTGGGACCCGTGGTGGTGGGAAATGAGCACTGGTGGAGGGATGGGTACTTGATCATTGTATAACTGAAACCCAAGCACAAAAATTTGTAAGTCTACAACTGTGCCTCATGGTGTTTCACTAATAAAATTTTTTTTAAAAAATGAATAAAAAAAATATTCACACTAACATTTGGTTGGGTCAGCAAAGATGCACGTACAGCAGAATGTAGAATAGATTTGTGGGTGAAGCTGTTTCTAATGTCAACATTCAAATCTTTCTGGTTCCTAAAGTCACTATTTTTTTAAAGAAAAAAAACCCACAGAGACAAGGTTTTGGCAGGTAGAATGAATATTCGATAGAATATTCAATAGATAAACCAAAGAGGGCTTCCTCTCTGGCCTTCATTTTATAGGTCGTGAAAAAAATGCATAAAAACTTATTCTTGGGTAACATTGAGTTTTCCTAGCTCCTTCCTGCAGGGAGCTTAAGGTTTATTGAGCCATTGCTACAACAGTGCCCTTGAGGCACACCCAATTCCATCAAGCAGTAATAATCCTATATTGCTTTTCTCTTTCCTTTATGTCATTTGCATGGTTTTTTTAGCAATGTCTTTTCTGTATAGACACAGGAAGATAGTCGATGCTATACTTTTGTAACATGGGAGTTGACTCCAAAATAATATTTACTCCTAGGCATCCATATTTACTTGACTTAAGACTCAGTTGCCTCTAGTTCCTAGCACTCCAAAAGCAGGGTCCTAAGGAAGGAACGGGGTGGATTCATGGCAAGCTGTAAGCTACCCTGGCATTTAAAGGAGACATGCTAAGCACCATAAGTATAATAAGTTAAGAGCATAGTCATGGAACAAACTCTGTCATGATCCAAAAGGAAGTAATTGAATAAAGACATGCTGGGGTTAGGAAAGACTAACCTGGCCTGAGGACTGTTGTCTGGAATATATAGCAAGATGTCCCCAGGAAGAGCCAACCTTTAAGCTTAATATATCTCTTACTGTGTCCATACAAAATGACTAGAAATATTATAAGAAGTAAATTTACTATGATTGCTTAAATGAATTACTAGCTGAGGAAAGTATAAAGCAATACACCCTGGATGGAATCCTTCCCTTTTAATCTGAAGTGCTGAACCCTCAGATGAGATTTTGTCCTTGAGTTAATCTCCGGAAGTAGTGGCTCTACATCTATTTGTTGTTATGATAATGTTCAACTCCACTTTTATGTACCCCTACCCTTCATGATTTTTATATAACTGTGCTGTAAAGGGTAAGATGGGACTAAATGTTGAAGACTAGAAAGTCAACGATGAGACTTTGAAGACTAAAGGAGGGGAATAGAGACTTTGGAGACCTTGAGGACTCTGGGACTAAAGAGAGGACTAGATGACAACAATTACTGGAAGTAGAGGACTATGAGACTACTATGAGACAAGGAAGAATATCTAATAAGATAGAGGACTTTGAGGTATAAAAGGAGACTGGATGATGGAACTATGATGACTGGGACTATGACCAAAACTACAAATACAATTGCGCTGTAAAGGGAGAGATTGGACTACACTGCGGAGGAGAGAGAAATAAACTGTCTAACGACCATCCTGGGTCCCAGGACCTATTTCTCCATTCCCATGGTCCTTCGCCTGTCTGTCATCGCCATGGACCCACCTGGAGAAGAGGTTCTCAGCCACTGATTGCTCGAGTCCCATGCACACCCACCACAAACCTTTTCTTGGAAACTCACATCTTCTATTATATCAAGATACAAAGACAGTCCAGGGAATGGGAAAAATTATATACCAAATAAACATCTGACAAGGGATTAATTTCAAAGCTGCATAAGGCACTGGTAGAACTTTACAAGAAGAAAGCATTCAATCCCATCATAAAAAAGGGGAGAATAAATGAACAGAAACTTCCTCAAAGAAGAAATCTAAATGACCAAAAGGCACATGAAAAATGCTCTATATTGCTAATTATCAGGGAGAAGAAAATCAAAACAACAATAATATATCATCTCACACCACAGAGACTAGCACACATCAAAAAGAACAAGAACAACCAGTGCTGGTGTGGACGGAGAGAGAAAGGGACTCTCATTCATTGTTGGTGAGAATGCTGACTGGTCCAGCCTTTTTGGAAAACAACAGGGGCAATCCTCAAAAAACAAAATTAATCTTCCATACAACCCAGAAATACACTGCGGGGAATATACCCTCAGAGCGCAAAAGCACACCACAGAAAAGCCATCTGCACTTCTATGTTTATTGCAGCACTAGTCACAATAATCAGAATCTGGAAACAACTAGAATGCCTGAGAACAGATGACCTGATAAATAAACTGTGGTAGCGATAGCACAGCGGTAGGGCGTTCGCTTTACAAGCGGCCAACATGGCCGACCCGAGTTCGATTCCTCCGCCCCTCTCGGAGAGCCCGGCAAGCTACCGAGAGTATTCGATATGCCAAACACAGTAACAACAAAGTCTCCAATGGAGACGTTACTGGGCCCGCTCGAGCAAATCCACGATCAACGGGAGGGCCTTTACCTTTACCTTTTACATCTATCTACAACAATGGAATACTATGAAGTTGTTAGGAAAAAGGGAAGTCATGAAATTTGCTTATAAATAGATGGACATGGACAGTATCATGCTGAGTGAAATGAGTCAGAAGAAGAGGAACAGACATAGAATGACTGTACTCATTTGTGAAATATTATAAACAAACACATAGATGATACTAATATACAAGGACAGTAAAAACAAGGTCCAGGAGGACTGGTCCGCATTTGGAAGCTTGCCACAAGTGTTGGCAGGAGGGCAGTTGGGATAGAGAAGGAACCATCATGATAGTGATAGTTAGAAATGATCACTCTGGACACGCACTGAGTGTTGAAAGTAGGTAAAGGGACAAGCATGATAACCGTTCATTACCTGTATTACAAGCCATAATCCCCAAATAGATTGAGAGAGAGAGAAAGAGAGAAAGAGAAAGAGAGAGAGAGAGAGAGAGAGAGAGAGAGAGAGAGAGAGAGAAGTGTCTGCCATAGAGGCTGGGGGTGGAGGGAGAGAAACTGCGGACATTGTTGTTGGGAAATGAACAACTGTGGAACGATGTGTTTTGGAACATTGTATGACTGAAACCCAATCATGAACAACTTTGTAACTGTGTATCTCACAGTGATTTAATTAAAAATATTTTAAAATAAAAAGAAAAAACAGAAAATTATACTACAAGTCAAATTATACCTTTCCTTAAACTGGTAACAAGTGTTAATGTTAACAAATTAATATGACTTTTGTATCCATAGATTATTTTCCTGCCAGTTTTATTCCTTTCAATCAAAATCTTTAAATAGCACCCTAGGAGTAATTACAACAGTCTACTGTTTCCCTAAGAGAACAGCTTATCACTTCAGTAATAAATTCTAACTATACAATTTTCTTTTTTGAAGGAGAACCCAAATATGTACATGCCACTCAAACAAGAAAAGAAAAACCCACTGCTGTGGAGTGACAATCAAGGAATGAGCCAGAAAGATAATCCTAAACACTTCTTAATGAATGGAGCAGGGTAGCATAGCAGAGAAAGACAGAGAGGGAAAATACTACTGGAGTTACTTACCAACAGAACAGTAAACAGCTCATGGACATACAACCTCTCTGTCTTTATCAGTTCATTTAGGACATGGCTAAAATGAAAAGACCATAATTGCCAGTTATTTTATTGGTTCAGAACAGTATCACACTTCAGTTATGTTCATTATCAATTGACAAATGTAAGCCTTTTTTGATGCACAGAAACTACCAATGATTTTTGTTTTATCATCAAAATATAAAATCAGTTCTATAGTTTCTAAAATAATGGGTAATTAGTGATGTATTTGTAGAGTAATTACAGCACAGGTCATATTACACATAAGACTCTTTGAAATATATTTTAAAGAAAGAGAAAGAGGTTCAGGAGCTTGATTTGGTAAAGAATTTTATTTCTAATTCACTGTGCTTAAGAATAATTTGCTAAAAAGTCACAAAATGTATTCATAAAATTCTTGGAAATAATTTTTCTGGAAAACATGTTTTTTGAGCTAAAATTTCCTCTTTCGAAAATGACAATATTATAGAAACAAATTTTTCCTTTTCTCAATAATGTTCTGAAATTTTCCAGGACATGAAGCTAATCTATTATACTTAATTCCCCAATTACAGTGCATAATTAAGTTTCTGTAGTAATTTTATTTACTGTCGCTTTAAAATAAAATGTAATTTCTATTCAATGTGATTTCCTATTTATATTATTAAAATCAATTTCTTCACTCCCCAATACTAATTAATCCATTAGTTTAACTTCAATCTTTGATTTTTTTCCTATATTTTAATAATTAATATTTAATGAACTCTGAAAAATACAATACTCATACAATTTTTCCCAAAACATAAAATTTAAAGAGCAAAAATTCTTATGTCAGAGTACTTACAAAATATTATGAAAGTGATAAAAAATGACTAATATGAACCTTTATAAAGTAACATCCTAAGTTCATACATCCTTTGCAGTTTGGACTTATTTTTGGATTTGGTTTTGTCTTTTGGGTGGGGGGCTTAGGTCACACCCGGTGGTGCCCAGGTTACTCCTGGCCGTGTGCTCAGGAATTACTCCTAGTGGTACTAAGGGGACAATATATGATGCCTGGGATCCAACACAGGTCAGCCATGTGCAAGGGAAACACCCTACCTGCTGTACTATAGCTCTAGCCCCGCTTTGTAGTTTTTCAAACACGGCTCCATTGTCTTTCACCTCTTTTCAAAAGAGGAGTCAAAGATTCTGAAGAGGACTACTTTCTAACTGACATGTCGTTAAACTGTGTATATGTGAGTTGGGCTTAATTCTGGTATTTTGACAGCTAATGATGTTCTTTTCATCATACCTAGATCCCCATTCTGTGAAATAAAAAGTCCAAGTCCATTTACCTTGACAGATAGATGTGTGCATGAGGTTAGGTTGGTAAGTAAGATGTATGGTTAAAGGTAAAGGTAAAGGCCCTCCCGTTGTTCATCAATTTGCTCGAGCGGGCCCAGTAACGTCTCCATTGGAGACTTTGTTGTTACTGTGTCTGGCATATTGACTACGTCACGGGGAGCTTGCCAGGCTCTGCCGTGCGGGCGAGATACTCTCGGTAGCTTGCCGGGCTCTCCGAGAGGGGCGGAGGAATCGAACTCGGGTCGGCCATGTTGACTGCGTGCAAGGCAAACGCCCTACCGCTGTGCTATCACTCCTAATACATGAAATATACCTCTTTAAAATATCCAGGGTATTGTCACTCTTCAAACTGGGAGATGGATCAGACTTTCTTTTCTCCTGACAATCTGGCACCGTTTCAATCTGAAAATATAAAAATAAAAGATAACTTAGCATCTGTGGTTGTTGTATTTTTTCCCTGTAGAGTTCAGCTCAAACCAAGTCTTCTTTAAGACCTCACGGTATAGACAAACTGAAAAAAAATAGCATCCTGATGATTATTTTTTTCAGACATAATTTTGATATGTACAAGTAAAAAATTGAGTTGCCCAATTGTGCAGATTTAAGATATTAATCATATGTACTTAGACACTAAGCAATATTTTATTTATTTAGCACTTTGTGTATGGCAGGGGCGTGGCAAATGGGAAGACAATAATTTCCCAAATAACTAAAGTTTATTCACTAAAGAACCAAAATAGCTTTTTATTTTAGTAATTTTTGATAAAAAACACTTCGAAGAATATGACATGACTTTTTAATTTTTTGGCTTGGGGCCACACCTGCTGGTGCTCAGAACTTATTCCTGGTTCTGTGCTTAAGGGTTACATCTGGCAGACTTGGGGAACCATAAGCAGTTCCAGGGATCAAATCTGGGTCTGCAGCATGCAAGATATGCCCCTTAGCTGCTGTGTAATCTCCCTTTCCCCTGATATTTTGAATTCTTTAACCAAGGATATTTGACAACACTGATCCTTTCCCTAATGACTCAGTGGCACTATCGTGAATATGAATATTGTGATAATATCTAACCATATACGCCAGAACAGATAAAATGTGAAGATCTCTTATTTCTTGAAATGGCAGGAACATAGCTATGCCTAGCTTTACCATATATAACTTATTCTTAAAATGCCAACTTACGTTGTAGATTCCACAGGACTTGGCCTGGCCTATGGAATTAACAAGAGATTTGTGATGGCTATTTGCTCTTCTGGGATGTAGCCATTATCTGCCCTACCAAAATCCCTAACTTTCCAGTAAATGGGCTATTACTTGATAGCGACTGTAATGTATAAATGGAAGAATCTATCAGCTAAATAATTTCCACAAAATAAGACCTACTTGTTGCTTTTAAGTTATCTTTATATGGCACTGGCACTGGCACTGTCCTCCTGTTGTTCATCAATTTGCTCGAGCGGGCCCAGTAACGTCTCGATTGTGAGACTTTGTTGTTACTGTGTTTGGCATATCGAATACATCACGGGGAGCTTGCCAGGCTCTGCAGTGCAGGCGAGATACTCTAGGTAGCTTGCCGGGCTCTCCGAGAGGGGCGGAGGAATCGAACTCGGGTCGGCCATGTTGGCTGCATGCAAGGCAAATGCCCCACCCGCTGGGCTGGAGCGATAGCACAGCGGTAGGGCGTTCCCCTTACAAGCGGCCAACATGGCCGACCCGAGTTCGATTCCTCCGCCCCTCTTGGAGAGCCCAGCAAGCTACCGAGAGTATCTCGCCCGCATGGCAGAGCCTGGCAAGCTCCCCGTGACGTATTCGATATGCCAAACACAGTAACAACAAAGTCTCCAATGGAGACGTTACTGGGCCCGCCCGCTCGAGTAAAGACCTACTTGCTACAAACAGGTTTGGGAAGGAATAAGAACCTGTGTACCACTTTTTATGTAGAGGAGGCACAGTCCAAGGTACTACCACATATCATTATAGCTATTCTTCCCATCAATGGACTACTTATCTCCATTTTACAGATGGGAAAACCTGAGGCACAGAGATGTGCAACGATAAGACCAAGATAGCCTAACAAATAAGTGAGAAAATAGATTCAAGTCTATGATCTACAACTGTTCTCATACGAGTTTCTTTCAAAAAGTGGGCTTTGACTAGTTATATCTCTTGAACACACCAAACATTATCATCATTTAAAAGCTGTCATTTAGACAAAAAAATAATGCATATGCTAACTATCAGACATAGCGCTTAATTTCAGCATGTTTATAAGTTATAAGTTTGGAACCTACAAAACATAAATTGGGGGGCTGGAAAGATACTACAAAGAGTTAAATCACTTGCCTCACTTGCAGAAGACACTGGACACCACATATACTGCAGCATCAAGCACTGCCAGGAGTCACTCCTAAACACAAAGCCATGAATAGCCCCCGAACACCATGGGTTTAAGTCAAGCTCCACATAAAAAGACATAACTCTGTATTGGATTGGCTTGCACTTGAAGCTGGATACCCCAGCTAGAAATCTCACCAGAAAATGTATGCCCACAGATTCTTTCCCTGCGAATATGCAAATCAATCCACACAAAGGAGTATAAAGGTATATGAGCAGAAACCAGAACTGAAATATATTTAAGACTGTGGAATTTAGCACCCAGTCTGTTTTTCTCTAGTAAGAAAAAGTTGTAGCTCTACATCTAGATAATTTGTCATGGTATGTCATTGTAGACCATTCACTAGCCTGCTAATAATTGTAAAACAACACTTAGAATACCACCATATGCCACTCATTATTTGCTTATTTTTCTTAACTACAACTCCATTGGGCTGGAGCGATAGCACAGTAGGTAGAGCATTTGCCTTGCAAGTAGCCAACATGGCCGACCTGAGTTCGATTCCTCCACCCCTCTCAGACAGTGCGGCAAGTTACCAAGAGTATCTCACCCGCACGGCAAAGCCTGGCAAGCTACCCGTGATGTATTCGATATGCCAAACACAGTAACAATTGTCACAATGGAGACGTTACTGGGCCCGCTTGAGCAAATCGATGAACAATGGGAGGAAAGTGACAGTGACAACTCCATTATGAGGTTTTCTACTGTCAGTCCCCTTTTTATAGATAATGAAACATACCCAATATTATATAGTCAATTAAATGATGGAACTAGGGTTTAAAAAAACCCAACCTAGCTGTACAATCTGTATTACTATGCTAAAATGTCTCTTGAGAAAATGTTAGTCTTTTTTTTTCATTTTTGAGTCATACAAGGCGATGCACGGGGGTTACTCCTGGCTCTGCACTCAGGAATTACTCCTGAGGGTGCTTGGGGGACCATATGGGATGCTAGGAATCCAACCCAGGTAGGCCACCTGCAAGGCAAACGCCCTACCCACTGTGCTATCGATCCAGCCCATTAGAGTCTTTTTAACCGCCAAAAACACAAAAAGAAAATACAGGATCCTGAAATGATTATGATACCTCAATGTCACAGACACCTGAAAAGGTATTCTGTATCAAAAAAATAAGGGACTGGAGACAGGACAGAATGCATGCTTTGTGTGCAGGAGATCCAGATTCCATCACTGATAATACATGGTTCCCTCGGAGTATCACCAAGAATGATATACCGAGGAGCAGGATGACAGAAGTCACCAGCACTGAGCTGGGTGTGGCCCAAAATGGATTATTGAAAGGTTTTTGTTCCTGTTTCATACTTGCAAGATAACTACTTGTGAAAAAAAATGTCCTTTGACAGGACAGAGCTATCCAAATCTTAATGTATTGAGGTGGAGTCAGGGGAAAGAGAAGCTGGAACTTAGAGGAGATGCCCTGAAGAAACCATTCTGAATTTGAGCCAAGTCTTAAGAAACTGCTCCTACATTTGGGAATATGCCAGGAGTGCAATTAGACACTATGCAGCAGAAGCTTTTTCTTTTAGATTAAATGCGTTTTCATACACACAATATTGGTTCAGTGAATTAAAAGCATGGTTTACATCCCCCCACAAACACATGCACAAGCCAATTCTGCAACTACAGCAACAATGCCAATTTTGGATTGATTAATTAATTATATTTACTTACTTTTAAGTTGCTCTGACTTTGTGTCCAAGTCTTCTGCCCTGGTAGAGAAATGCAGAGAAAGAATTTCAAGACAAAATTCAAATCAACATTTTAAAGTTTAAAATATACAAACATACAGAGTAAGTAGAGAAAGATTCTTCCTTGTATTTTCAAATCAGTATGCAAAACAGTTGATTGGTCAGACTTACTAGATGACTTGAACTTCCTATTGAGAATAGTTTTGCTATACCTTCTCTCATCAAATTTTGCTTGATTGCTAAGTGAGCACACAGCTAGGTGTCATTACTCATAATTATTTGCAGATTAAGATTCATTCTAACATAGAAGCTTTTAGTCATATTGTAGTAAACTGATTAACTGGATCAAGGCTCTGAAAAAATATCTAAATATAGCTAATAACCATAACATCTAGCATTTTATTCAGCAATTGCCACACACCAAGTACTATTCTAAAGCCTACACATTTCTTTTGTAACAAAACCACCCTAAGAGATAGGGTTACTTTTTTTTTTTTTTTTTTTTTTTGCTTTTTGGGTCACAACCGGCAATGCACAGGAGTTACTCCTGGCTCTTTGCTCAGGAATTACCCCTGGTGGTGCGCAGGGGATCATATGGGATGCTGGGAATCGAACCCAGGTCGGCTGCGTGCAAGGCAAATGCCCTACCTGCCGTGCTATTGCTCTAGCCCCAAGATAGGGTTACTTTTATCTCCACTTTATAGATAACATAGGGAAAAGTAACATTCAAACCTGCAGCCTGCTGTCAGAACATGTTTCTAACCATTATATAAAACATTGCCAAAGCATGTTAGAAATGCTGAAACAAAACAAAAACCAATTTCAGCAAAATTCCAAGTTTTTTCTCTTTAATTAAATTTTAAAAGTTCCCATTTACATAGTGATCCCCTGTGTCATTAAGCAAGGAGTCAGATATTCCTTGCAATAAAAAGGTGTAGCCCATCACCTCTAGGTAAATACCCTAAGATTGTTGAAAAATAGACTGCCACTCACACAGACTGCATGGATATTTCCTCTGCACTAAGAAATATATTTCTTGTTTTTCCTCCTTGTCAGGAGCCATAGCAAAACACATCAGGAAACTTATGCTCTTATCTTCTCTAGATTTAATAATTCATTTTAATTTATTTTAAAAGATATTTCAGGGGACAGAGAGATAGCCCAGAGGTTAAGGTGATATTTCAGGGGACAGAGAGATAGCCCAGAGGTTAAGGTGATTGCCTTTCATGTGGTAGACTCCGGTTGGATCCCCGGCACCATATGAATACCCTGAGCACCTCCAAGTGTCACCTTTGAGCACAAAGCCAGGAGTAAGTCCTAAGCACAGCTAGGTGTAACTCTCCCCAAAATAAATAAAAGTATAAAGGTATTTCATATGCATGCAAAAACATGTCTTACTTAATCAGAAATATATATATATTGTTTAGTGAAAATAACCATAGGAAATCAATTTCTCAATACTGATATCCATCAACTTTAAGAAAGACATAAAAATTGCGACTTATTTATATAGGTAACACAGGGAATTCTACTAATTAGCTCTATTAATTCAAATCTTGCAAATCCATTAAGAGTCAATAAAGGACTATATGTACAAATTACAGAAAAGGCATTTTCTGACAATCAGGGTATTTGTATTTATTCTTTCAACAATGCAAATATATATGAAATTATTGAGTCCCTATACTATATATTAAGCTCCATGTTTGGTTCTGGGGATCACTGTATCACTGTATCACTGTCATCCCGTTGTTCATCGGGCACCAGTAATGTCTCCATTCATCCCTGTCACATGCTAGTGTATCCCGATGGCATACTGGGGGCTCTTTCAGGGTCAGGGGAATGAGGACCATCATTGTAACTGTTTTTGGCATATCGAGTATGCCATGGGTAGCTTGCCAGGCTCTGCCATGTGAGCGGGATACTCTCAGTAGCTTGCCGGGCTTTTTGAGAGGGATGGAGGCTTTTGAGGCAACCTCTAATCACCTTTACAGGTGAAATAAATAACGTGAAATACTTTAGATAAAATGTCAGAATACATTATATCATCCCTTTAATAAATGTCTCTACTTTGCAGATTTTTTACAAAATTTTCTCTGGTTAGGAGAATGAAAAGTTGTCTTGTTTTTATGAATTTCTGTCATCAATGACATATTCTGCCCTAACATAATTTATGATGTGATATAAAAGATGAACACAAGAACATATATATTATCCATATATATTATCTAATATACATTCTCTGCTTTTTAAAGTAAGGTATGAACAGATAAAACTCCATTATCATTGGGCTAGATAATCCAGTGCTTAAGGTGTGGACACCTTGTATGTGGCTGACTCCAGTCTGATCACTAGCACTTCATGGTCCATCCCACTCTCTCCCAGCATTATGGCTGGGTATAGCCCAGAAGTCTCAATCATTGCCTGGATAGCCCCAGTAAGCCCTAGCACTGTAGGGTTTCAGCAGCACCACATATTCAGGCCCCTAAACCTCTGGCCTGGTTGTCCAGGAACATAAGGAGGGGCCTTAAGGAGCCTTAAGCACTGCTTGGGAGAACTCCTCCCCTCCCAAATCAACATTATCTACTGTATCCTACAAGAATTCTTTTAGACACACATTTCTTAGCTCAAGAACCATTTGGCAGGGTGATATGGGGTGTAAAGGTTGGAGAAATAGTGCAGTGGGTAAAGTACTTGCCTTGAATTGGAGGTAGCCCAAGGTTTGATACTTGACACATTTATATACAGTCTCTGCCTAGAAGATTTAAGAATCTAAAGAGAGATCAAACACTGACAATTTCACTAGGGTGAGAAGAAATGAAGAGGTGCTTGGTATCATGTAGCATGAATACCGAATCAAACCAGACTGAGAGAAGAGGCAGGTAGGAAAATCTTACCTAACGGAAGTGGCTGAGATAGGAAATGGAATAAGAAATAAGAGGTCTCAGAGGAAAAGAGGAGAGAAAAGAGAACAATGTTCTAGAGAAAGAATAATACACACAAATTCCAAAACGTAAGACAACTTTAGATATACGAGAAGGGAATTTGGGAGTCAGGAAGACTGTTGCAATTAACAAAGCAACATATTATGTTGGCTCGGGTCAGGGAAATGGCAGTGCAGATAAAATGAGTTAGGGAGGCTAGAAGGCGATTTTGTTTTAAGCGTGAGGAGTTAATTCAGGATTGGCACAGAGATGGCAACTCAGGACTGCTGCAATATGTAGACAAATCCCAAGAAGTAATGTTTTTCTTTTTTGTACTAATTAGAGACGGGGAATGTGTGAGAAGCGGGGAGCTAAAATCCCAGATTACACGACTGCAGGAATCACAGTGATGGGAGAAACTCAGGCAGAGGAGGTCTGCAGGAGAGATGACAGCCATCTGGGATATGCTGGAAGAAAGTCCTCATAGGAAATTCACTGGGACCACTAGAGAACATGTAGATCTGGGGCTTGGCCTGAGATCACATAAATGAAAACAGCAAAGAAAAAGAGAGATGAAGGGGGAACTAAGAAGAAACAGACTAGAGGTTATACAGGGGCAAGGAACAAGAGGCATGGGTCTTGGACACACACCAGTGTTGTCGAGGTGAGGGAGCTGTATATATCAAAACCACTAGAGTCAACACTACTACAAACAAGGGACCTGAATTATTGTATTTAAACCTAAAAAAATTAATCTGTTAAGAAAGACTTATCAACAGCGGGTGAATGAATGGAACCTGGGGACATTGATGGAGGGCCGCAGACACTGGGTGTGATTGGAGTTGGTGAAATATGCCTGAAAGTGTTGTCAACGACTTTGTAAATCCAGATGCCTAAATGAAGAAGAATAGAGACAAAAGACAACAATATATATTAGAACTACATATCTAAGGGCTCAGACCCCCACTACAGTCCTCACAATTTTCTTCCATTACTCTCCTCTCTAGTAAATATTAATTCAACAAAACTTATTAGATATTGTTAGGCTCTGGACACTATGGTAGACATAAGATGCTTGGTGGAGCAAATCAATAAAAAATAAAAATAAAAATACCGACTTGTGAAAAATTAGCACATAATAAAAATTTAATTTGACCAAATTTTACATATTTAGCTTGGCCAAAAATAGTCTTAAAGAATTATTTGCAACTGATTGCTACAAACTCCATTACTGGTAGAGCAATAAGGTACAATGAACAATGCTTGTAGCATAAGTAAAGCTTTGGCATAATTTACAAACTATGATGCATAATGGATAAAATAATTTATCCACCCACACCATTTATTCAGTAAGCTGCCTTCCTCCTCATAAATACATTAAGCAATCTTAAATTGATGCAAATCCAGGCTACTTCCAACAAATAGTTTTATTGTGGATGACACAAGTCTCTAAAATGAAAGAAAGCTTGATTCTTTTTAGCATTGCCAATTAATTTTCTTGTTTTCTTTTTCTGAGTGATCATTTGATGAAAGAGGTTCCATTTGGAAGCACAATTTACCTTTTCGATATTCATTTTCCAAGGTAAGTAGAATTTGGAGAGCATAATAGATGGTTATTATAAAAAATGGGTGGGGGAGTTAATTGGAGGCAGAATGCCAGAATGAATTGCCACTGATTTTAGAAGCCAAATTGGTGTTCACATTTACACACATGCAGAGAATGTACTGACAAAAGCAATAAGGATGGTACCTTTTGAAATAGTTTACATACTTGTAAGAAAGAATATTCATCTCCTCATCTCCCACCGAAGAAAGAAAATGTAACACCATTAAAGAAGCTCATAAGGGAAAAAAAAAGAAAATGGTTTTCCCTTCTAGCCCTTTCAAGTCAATATAGAAATCATTTTCCCAATTTTATAAACTAGGAAACTGAGACTAAAAATGATTAAACTGCCTAAGGTCCCGCTGCAGGAAAGAGCCAGAAATCTGTCTTCTGCTTAGGGGTATTGTTTTTGTTTTTGTTTTTTAATTTTAACCAAATATCTTCTTAGTGGACATTATTCCTTTCTGGCATTGTTCATGATTTTAGCTGTAAGTGTATTTGTATGTTGAGTAACTATCAACTATGTAATTTCTATCACTTTATTGTGGTTACCTGCTTTAATCATCTCTTTTGAACCTGAGCCCTGCTGGTTCTGGGCTGGATTTTTATACTCATTAGGCCTTGGCTGAAGCTTTTACTGAATTTCAAAGCAGTTTCCACACATTAATGAAGTTTCTGAGTCTCTCAGATCAGAGAAACCAAATTTAGTCTTGTTCACCCATTCAAATAACTTAAGGACCCAAAGATGAAATTACTCTTCTCTAAGAGGCCCCAAATGCAGCTCAAGGGAGCCTTGGAGTGAGAGAGGTATCTTATTTCCAGAGTAGTTCAATACAATTGTAAAGAAAATTACCTTATCCCATAGAATACAGAAAGAAAATGGATAATACATGGTGAAACTAGTCTACAAAGATGAAAATGAGAAATGGACTAGTGGCAAATTGCTAGCAAAATTAGCATATTTGTCTGTACATACCTAGAAAAAGGTAACCCATTCAATGATCTTAACTATATTTATAGAAATTTACTCAAGTAATCATTTATTGAGAAATGCAATGGTGTGTGTTTCCAGTTTCCTATGCTTTTCATTACAAACTGAAGAAAAGGGTGAGCTTTATCCTAGTAAAATGTTAAGACTCATTGTTGGATTATTCATTTCTGAGATTTGCATCATCTTATACTAGATTCCTTTTGTACTACAGTTGTCTATTGATTGGTAATATCAACCATGCCTCTTGCTTTATACAATATAATTGAATATGACTAAAGACACTTAAATGCAATTTAAATTTATCAGGATTGATGAACTAATTTAAGACTCACATCAAGAGGAACAAGGTAAGTTATAGCAGGAAAAGGAAAAAAAGAAACACTAGGAAAGACATACCGAAGATACATTACCATGATTCGGTGTGAACAATGTTGTTCTGGATTTGGTCAAAGAATTGCTGGAAGCAGGTACCACAAATTGGATGGGAGTCAGTTGCTTCTCTGCAGTATTTTTTAAATCCTCTTGTTGAGTCTCAAATATGTTTCGAATACTTTCAAGCTTGACTTGTATAGACTGCATTTGAACCTACAAGTTGCATATAAATTTTGAGGCGTATTTTTCAAAATGGGGTTGTTTGAACACTTTTCTCATTCAGTCAAAAAACAAACTTAGGGTTTAAAATATAAGTAAAATTTAGGAAATTCCATGGAAACAGTTCAATCCATTATCTTTATGTGATTGAAAAAAACAAAAGATCTCAACCAAAACAACTTGGAAAAGAAAATCAATCAGTCATGATAAAACACTGCATAAGGAAGGTACAGGAAAAGATAATGTTTGGAAAAGAAGGTATAGTCAACATATGAAAGTCACCAAGTTAATGTCACATGACTCAGTATGTCATAGGAGTCAGCCTGTGGGATATTCTATACCGTCCCTATTTTTAAAAGGTCCTCAAGCAACTGACAGATGACCATTCTGCCCTCCTAGATGATTTGAGATAGCAAGAAGTAAACTTGTTGACTTCCAACCACCAATTGCCATAGAACTTTTTCTGATTTTCTGGCATATCCCTAAAGAAGTGCAACAAAGCAACAAAAATTTAGATACTGACCCAAAGTCATTCAGCAAACACCACAAATGTGCTCATCTGCAATTTGGGGGGTCCATCAAGATATCTCTAAGAGGGTGATGTTAAACTAACCTATAGGTCATCGGCTAATCCAACTTCTGCCTGTTTTCCTTTTCTGGAAAGGACCAGATCCTTGCTTAAGCCCTTCACCCTCAAACTGAGTAAGGAACTCCAATCTGTGACCACAGAGCATTAGTTGGTGGTTACTGCTGTACAAAGGAAAGAAATTTGGGATAGAATGGTCTTGACAAGGGCCAGTAGTACCTTGGACCTTTCTCCAAGGATGCACTATCACTATCACTATCCTCCCATTTTTCATCGATTTGCTCGAGCAGGCCCAGTAACATTGTGAAACCAGTTACTGTGTTTGGCATATCAAATACGTCATGGGGAGCTGGCCAGGCTTTGCCATGCAGGAAGATACTCTCGGTAGCTTGCCGGGCTCTCCGAGAGGGGTGGAGGAATCGAACTCGGGTTGGCCATGTTGGTGTGTGGAAGGCAAATGCCCTACCAACTGTGCTATGGCTCCAGCCGCCAAGGATGCACAAGAATATGTAAGTGAGGTCTCCTACTCTGTGAAAAGAGTTTAGAAATAATGAAATCAAGCTGAGTAAAAATCAGAATGAAAGGGATAGATACAGAATGAACTTTCTCATACGTGGGACTTAAGAATCATAGCAAGATAGTGAGACAGCAATAAAGATCCAAATACAACACAACTAAAGAACTGACACACAAAACTGAATTGGAGGGTTGAGGGAGCCCCTTCGGGGAGAGAGACAGATATAATGGTGATGGAATTATGTTCACGAGGAACCATTATTAGTGGTAATGTAAATAAAACTTCATTTTTTTTAAAAAGGCCCCCCCGTTGATCGTCGATTTGCTCGAGCGGGCCCAGTAACGTCTCCATTGGAGACTTTGTTGTTACTGTGTCTGGCATATCGAATACTCTCCGTAGCTTGCCGGGCTCTCCGAGAGGGGCGGAGGAATTGAACTCGGGTCGGCCATGTTGGCCGCTTGTAAGGCGAACGCCCTACCGCTGTGCTAAAAATATTTTTAATAAAAGGCCTTTACCTTTACTCTTAAGGTAAAGGTAAAGGTAAAGGCCCTCCCGTTGATCGTCGATTTGCTTGAGCAGACCCAGTAACGTCTCCATTGGAGACTTTGTTGTTACTGTGTTTGGCATATCGAATACTCTCGGTAGCTTGCTGGGCTCTCCGAGAGGGGCGGAGGAATTGAACTCAGGTCGGCCATGTTGGCCACTTGTAAGGCGAACGCCCTACTGCTGTGCTATCGCTCCAGCCCCAAAGGTAAAGGCCCTCCCGTTGATCGTCGATTTGCTCGAGCGGGCCCAGTAACATCTCCATTGGAGACTTTGTTGTTACTGTGTCTGGCATATCGAATACTCTCCGTAGCTTGCTGGGCTCTCCGAGAGGGGCGGAGGAATCAAACTCGGGTCGGCCGTGTTGGCTGCGTGCAAGGCGAACGCCCTACCCGCTGTGCTATCGCTCCAGCCCACCTTTACTCTTAGAAATAAATAAAAATAATGTCAGAGTTCCAAAAGAAAATTATCCTCCATTATGTAGCAAGAACAGTTTTTGACTTCTTTGATGCTTAATGTGGCACACCCTAACCCCTAAGGCAACTAAGTCAATACAACTTGACTAAACTTAACTGTAACGTTCAAATACTCTTATCCACACAACTGCATCGAATCTTTCGCTTTACTTATTTGGCGACCAGAGAGGGAGTTACAGAGATTTAGGCTCTTTCTCTGTCTCTGGCCGAATCTGAACCACATATTGTCCCCTAAGCACAATCAGTCTTTACTCCTGATTACAGAGCCAGGTATAGGCCCTGAGCACTGCTGGGTATGTCTCAAAAATAACCTACCCCCCCCAAACAAAACCCTACCTTTTTTAAACTTGGTAGATAAAGTCTCTTACCTTGAGTTCAGGAGATACAATCACATCAAATTCACAAGGCAAGCTTTCAATGTCATAATTGAGAAAGGGCAGCGCCATTTCCAGAAAGTTTTTGATGCCCTGGACGGTTTTCTCGATATCTTCTTTAGATTGAAGCTTTTCTGTGTCCTGATTAGCTAGAAGGCATTCTCCTTCATCACAGCATTGGCGGGCCTGGTACAAGAAATGACAGGCAAGCATGCGCAAAGGCACGCACACACACACACGGGCACATGGGCACATGGGCGTGTACACACACACACACACACACACACACACCATGAATGAAGAAGTTTTTTCTTGAAAGAGAATAGCCCTAGCTTCTCTAAAACAGAGCTGCTCTCAGAAATGTTTAAAAGTCAAGATACCTGGGTCCTGCCCTCTGTTATTCTGGGTCAGTCACTCCCGGTCTTAAACCAGGCATTGATATATTTGCAGGCTCCACAGGTAGTTCTGATGAAGAGCCAAGTTTACGAAGCACCGCATTGATTGCATAACAAGGAACTCATTCTGCAGCAGGGACCTGACCACTCTTTCAATACTAACAATTCAGTTACATGCTATTCCCCCCAAATCAATAACTGAATTATGAAACTCCTAACAGAAGGGAAAGTATTATAAGCAAAGAATGATTGTCAAGAACAGGGGCCAAAGTTTCCTTGCCAAGGAAGATGCACAGTCTGAGATGTTCATGTTCCGATATACTGTCTCAAAGCAGTAGCCTTAGTCTCTATTCCCACTGCAAAAATACATCTCCTCTTCATTGCCTAATCATGAAATGGGTCAGACCCACAAGCAAAAGAGGACTATTTTCCAGTGACTGTTTAATGGATTATCATGAAAGTATGAAATATGAAAGTTGCTTCAGGATTCAGCAAAATGTTTCTAAGGCTGCTGGCTGTGTTCTGCATGCACACATGACCAGAGTAGAACCCTCACAAAATGGTAAGGATTCCATCATAACCACAATCTCAATATTTAGAATAGAGGTTAACATCCTTACAATACTTGGGCCTGGAGGAAGGGAGTTTGTCTTGCATGCTTCAAACCCAGGCCCAATCCCTATTACTTCATATGATCCCAGAGCCCTGTCAGGTGAGACCCCTGAGCAGAGAGGTAGGAGTAAGCCCTAAACACTACTGGATATTGCCTCAAAAGAAAAAAATAAAAATCCTTACAATACTCGACCTGCTGCAAACGTTGCAGAATTAAATGGGTTAAGTAAGCACAATCAAATTCAGTACTTAAGATTTCATACCAGTTCAATTGCAACACTCTCCATGACTCCCTACACACCATAAGCAATCCAGAAAGGGAAACTTTTCTTTTTCAGAAACGCATCATTTATCATAACACTACCTGCTGTATAAGTGAATGCACTTTAAAGGTCCTGCTGAGCTGGATCCGTTTTGTTTTGATCTCTTTTGCCAAAGTATCAGAGAGGTGACGTAGTTCGTTGCATCTCTGGCAGATCAAATCAAGTGCATAATGGTGACTTGCTGCAAGTTTGTGTCCGTGTAATATCATAAAATGGGCCTTTGATAATACATTCTGATTTTAAGAGAGAAGGAAAATAAGAACTGTATGAATTCTTCAGAGAAGGGGAAAGGGATTAAGAAGTTAATTGATTGAGCAAGGGAGCTAACCATGTGGAAAATGTGATTTGATGTCATACTTCTGCAGACTAAATAAGAAATTGAAAAAAAGCCTTAAAATAACAGCAATTAGTTACATCAATGATGTCACCAAAAACTCATGAATTTCTGGTAACAAACAGAATATTATCCAGCCCATGTAAATAGGGGAAAGGAATGTATATGAGGTTTGTGTCCCATGGCACATCACTGTATCACTGCCATCCCGTTGTTCATCAATTACTCGAGCGGGCACCAGTAACATCTTCATTCGACCCAGCCCTGAGATTTTAGCAGCCTCTCCTTACTCATCTTTCCCAATGTATTGGAGGGTCTTTCAGGGTCAGGGGAATCAGACCCGTTATTGTTACTGTTTTTCGCATATTGAATACACCACGGCTAGCTTGCCAAGCTCTGCCGTGCGAGCGGGATACTCTCAGTAGCTTGCCAGGCTCTCCGAGAGACGCATATATATGTTTCTCTCTTTGATTTGTTGCCTACTGTCTGGACCTCATCAAAAATGGTGTGGTAATTATGTAAAATGGGTAGGAAGTGTCTTATGATGTGTCGTGCCAGGGTACATACATACTTAGTACATACTTATAGCAAGTAAAGAATGCATCAACTGAAAGCTAATGGATATCATATGTCAACCTTGAAAAATTCATTAGAATCATCATATACCTGACCACTTTGCCTAGCTGAACTCAACTGGGTTTCCATATCAAAAGGGATCCTAGCGTCATGCTTCCATTAATTCAACCACTGACTCTACCCATTCTAAAGACTGAAACATCATAGGAACTCAGGCAATATTTTCATGGTAAAATAAAGAAAACTGAAGCCCAGATTGCAGAAGTGATCACTTTGTCTAGCTGACTGGAAAATCAGGTTCAAAATAGAGAATTTATGTGTAATGAATACAGAGTTTCAATTTTGCAAGACAAAAAAGTTCTGGAAATTGGTTGCACAACAACATAAATATACTAGACTCTAATGAACTGTGTTCACTTCAAACTGATTAAGATGGCAAATTTTATTTTGTGCTTTTGACCACAATTAAAACTAAAGATTTATCTTAAAACCAAAAAGTCTCTAGGTTCCAAGCCAGTTTTCTTTTTTTTTCCTTCCATAATATACCATAAGAGTCTTATAATTTACCCCTCCTTCAAAGATAATTCCAGAACCATACCTCAACTTCTGCCACCAAATTTGTGTTTTCATTTGGTGTGTTTCACTCCTAAATTAACTTGCTTGCTTAAAAATTATAACCTTGCTCTTATACAAGAAATGAGAGTAAAGTTAGCTTGTTATGTATTAACTCATCAATCATGAACACACATTAAGAAGAGAAGATAGTACTTAGCTCTTGTGAGCACTCAACATGTGTTTACAAATTCTAGATACTGTGCACAGTGTTTTATCAACAACATCAAAATGAATTCTCACAATCACATCCAAAGTAGTTTATTCCATCCCCAATCAATGCGGACACTGAGACTTAGAAATTTTAATACTTTTATTCTACAGTCACATGGCTAATAAAACTAAGTAGATATATGGAGATTTGTTTGGTGTGAGTGTAAATAACAAATTATGTGTATTTAAACTTGTTCATTTCCATCATTTTCAAGCATCAAATAAAATTTTTGTTGATGCTGCTGCTATTGTTATTATTTTTGTTGTGCTTGGAAGGGCAAGCCTATTGGTGTCAGGAGCCACCCAGACCAACACTAGGAAATGCTTAGGGAGATTCACCAGATTCACATTCAGTGATTCTCAGAGAACTATGTGGTGTGGGGCTTGAACCAAGAGTCTCACACATGCAAGGCATATGCTCTACTACTATAAACCATACCTTCAGCCCAAGTAGCATTCCTAGTATAACATGTTTTCAGCTTCTTTAAAATGATTATACTCTTGGGGCTGGAGAGATAGCACAGCGGGTAGAGCGTTTGCCTTGCACGCAGCCGACCCAGGTTCGATTCCCAGCATCCCATATGGTCCCTTGAGCACCGCCAGGAGTGATTCCTGAGTGCAGAGCCAGGAGTAACCCCTGTGCATCGCCGGGTGTGATCCAGAAAGCAAAAAAATAATGATTATACTCTTGTTCCTATCATTGGGCTTGCAGCACCATTATCTCAGAGGCCTCCTTGTGTAACTATAGCACATGTCTAACATATCTCCAGGGTCACCTCCAGCCCACATTGAACAGAATAGAATAGAATGTAGAGCAATATCAATCAACCAATTACAGAGATTGTTGCTAGGACAGAGTAATAATTGAAAGAGTTTGTATGAAAATTATCAAAATTTTAGATATACTCCTTAAGGGCAGTGAACAACCATATTATCTGTAGAGTGAAATAGATTCTTACCTGAGAAATTTCATGTAAGTTATCCAACTTTTGCATTTTTTGTTTAACTTCAGAGAGAGTTTCTGTTACCTCTGTCAACTCCGCTTGTTGGTTTAACAGAAATTCAACTTCAGTCACAAGCTAAAATTAGGGGGAAAGGTCTTGAAAATATACAATTTTAAGCGTTTTCCCTTAATCATCAAGCTGCATTGAAAATGCATATATTACATAAGAATATCAAGATAAAAATTACACATTGGTAAATTATTTTGCTATTTTATTCACAGAAGTCAATATAATCTCTTAAAAGAAAAAGAATACTTTGGCTTAGTGTATATTTATAATTCATAAAATACCACTATGTGCATGTGAAGGCATGTTAATGTGGGTGCGTAGGAGGAATATATGTGTGTTCATGCATATATACTCCCTAGCTCTGAAGTGAAAATTGTTCGAGAAACAAAGAGTCTTCAGCAGCAAATGTGCACACCTAGTATCCAGATTTTGATCTTCTATGTCATTTCCTGATCCTAAACAATCAAGATCCTGAACGATCAGTTTGAGGCTCTTCGTGTTCCTAGAATGAACAGACGCCATTGGGCTACACTAGCACGCAACAGGGACAAATGGAGACGTTACTGGAGCCCGCTTGAGCAAATCAACGATTAACGGGAAGTGAAGTGATCAAGTGATGTCATTTCCCAGAAAAAGAAACCAGGAGTCCTCAGTAAATAGCACAGTGGGTAGGGCGTTCGCCTTACAAGCGGTCAACATGGCCGACCCGAGTTCGATTCCTCCACCCCTCTCAGAGAGCCCGGCAAGCTACCAAGAGTATTCGATATGCCAGACACAGTAACAACAAAGTCTCCAATGGAGACGTTACTGGGCCCGCTCGAGCAAATCGACGATCAACGGGAGGGCCAGTACAGAGGCAGAGCAGTAAGAAGATGATCTTGGTGCATCTTTTTATGCCAGAAGGAGAAAAAGTAAAACAATTTTTTGGTCTTAGACCCACACCCAAGAGTGCTTAGGGCTTACTCCTGGCTCTACACTCAGGGATCACTCTTGGTGGGGCTCAGGGAATGATATAGGGTGCTGAGAATCAAACCGAGATTGGCTGTGTACAAGGCAAGTACCCTGTCTGCTGTAATACCTCTCCAGCTCCATAAAAGTTTTCTATTTTATGAATTGTATGGGCTGGGGCGATAGCACAGCAGAAGGGTGTTTGCCTTGCATGCAGCCAGCCCCACCAAGCTGGGTTTAATTCCTCCACCCTTCTTGGAGAGACCGGCAAGCTACCGAGAGTATCTCGCCCACACAGCAAAGCCCTGCAAGCTACCCATGACGTATTCTATATGCCAAACACAGTAACAACAAGTCTCACGACAGAGATGTTACTGGGCCTGCTCGAGCAAATCGATGAATAACGGGAGGACTGTGACCGTGAATTGTATAGTCATAAATCCAAAACACAGATTCAACAACATTGAAAACATGAGATCAAAGCTGCAACCACTGAAACTTTGTAATGTGCCTGTCAATTAGACAGGTAAGGGGTCTAGCAGGGGCTGGAGATGGGGATGGAACATGGGAACACTTGTGGAGGTAAGTTGACACCGGTGATGGGACTAGTGTTGAAATACTACATGCCAGGGCTGGAGTGATAGCACAGCGGGTAGGGTGTTTGCCTTGCACACAGCCAACCTGGGTTCAATTCCCAGCATCCTATATGGTCCCCTGAGCACCACCAGGAGTAATTCCTGAGTGTATGAGCCAGGAGTAACCCCTGTGCATCACTGGGTGTGACCCAAAAAGCCAAAAAAAAATACTATATGCCTAAAACTCAACTATCAATAACTTTGTAAAGCATTTTTAATTAAACAAAAAAAATCTTTAAAATTATATGTGGGTGTCCAACATAGAAATTACTTCAAAACATCAAAACAGTTGAAAAGAATAGTTATAAGGACCTGAAAATGAGGAAAGTGTGAACCGGATAAGTAGATAAAATGAAGAATTGATCCATTCTGCTTAGATAGGTCTGCACTGGTTAACAGATGTGCTTTTGGGGACAGGGCACCCGGGCAGGGCACTAAAGTTGGAAAATCAGCATTTCACAGCCATCAGATTAAAGGTTAGCTAAAACCAAGAATCATCCATTGATACTAAGTCTATGGGAACTTTTATGAGAAGCAAGATATCTCCCTGGATTTAAAATGTTCTCCCCAGGGGGCCCCAAGAGATATGTTATATTGTATGTGTTATTTAAAGAACCAGGAAAGAAATTGGTACTATGTCCTTAGAAAGCTACCCCACAATATTAAAGGACTTTACACCTAAAATAAATGTGACTAATAAACAGCAAGATCTGTAGAAATTTGTTCAGTGCCATATAAATTGGCACTTAAGCATATTCTTCTAAGAGATGAGTAAGCTAAAGATGGAGAAAACTGGACAGTATGACTGTTTCCTACACTCTAAAGTTAAGGATCATTCAGAATTGCCTCCCTTTAAATTCTTCTGCAGGTAAAAATATGCATCTCGCAAGTAAGTACATCTGGCATAATGAAAAAAGAATGTTTTAACTGACCTCTTGAAAATCTTGCTCAAATTTCCATAGTTGCAGATACTGCTGCATTTTTATCTGATGTTTCTCCCAAAATCCATCAAAAGCAACTTCCATATCATGTACTTGAGTCAGTAATCTTAATAAAGAAAAGGGAAATGACCATTGATTCTGTAGGTAGGTAGATATACCTAATCTGTACTTTAAGAATCTATAGACAAAGTGAAAGACAGGGCTGTCTGACTCTGGTAGTGACCATCAGTGTTGAATTTCTTCTTGCATTTTCTACACGCAAACTCATCTCTGACACACAACTTAGGAAGGAGTTGTCTGATTCTCAGATGTCTAAGGAAGCTTTCACACTGAACTTATTACAGAAAAAATAATTTTATTCCCTTTGAAAAGCATGAAATGAGAAATAGTCACCTCCAAATGGGAGAGACTCACTTGTCAACAGTTTGCCAGTCACGGCTTATTGGCTGACGACGCTCTAGACTTGAACTGACATCTTCTTCAGTGGAAGGACCTCCCAGATTTATCATCAGAAATTTTCCTTCTTTGGTGACAGCTGTAATATTGTCCTGTAAATGTGTAGCAAAATACATGAGCCAGTCAATAACCTACTCCAAATGACCTGAAGGAGGTCTCCTAAAGCAGGCAGAGGAGAACCAGAATTCTCCATGGCCTTGGGCTTCCTAACTGAAAAATCTAGGAATAGCTGGATAGGTTACTGAATCCAAAGGATGGGAGATCTCCATGAAGACTTCAACTCTCAAAATGGATGCAGTGATATCTATCCTTATAAGACATTTATAGGTTCAAGTACACCATGCTTAATTAGTAGCCCACTTCTTGCACTGGAGGATAATTACAATTGATTCTATTCTATTTTTCTAGCATTTACTGTACTATAATAAAGCATTAGTAGCATAATACAGACTCACAGTATGAAGCCTCCAATGACAAATTCTATTTAATGCATAGTCTGATATACTTAGATACCTTCTCTACTAATCTGTAATCTTTGTCAAAGGCTATCTGGCATAGGTACTATGCTACTTTACATTTAGATTAATTAATTTGCTACTATGTTACTTCACATTTGGATTAATTAATTTGGCATGAAGCATATGTTTCCATTCAGAAGGTCTTATTTAAAAGTAAATTCTTCAGGTATCTATGTGTGATCAGTGACCTTCTTCAGGACACTCAAAACCCTCTAATCATTTTTTTCATTTTACTTTATTTTTTTTTAAATTTTATTAGAGAAACACCATGAGGTGCAATTGTAGACTTACAAATTTTTGTGCTCTGGTTTCAGTTATACAATGATCCAGTATCCATCCCTCCACCAGTGCCCATTCTCCACCACCACTGATCCCAGTATCCCTCCCACCCCCCATCCCCCCCGTCCCACCCTGCCTCTGTGGCAAAGAATTCCCTTTTGTTCTCTCTCTCCTTTTGGGTGCTGTGAAAACCCTCTAATCTTTTAAAGAAAAACTTGGATGTATGCATATTTTTTGTGAAAACATTCCATGATACCAATAGACTGAATAACAGTTTAGATATTAATATGTCATATTTATTAAGTGGCAACTATAACCAAGCACTGTTTCATACACAGTATTTCATTTCGTCTACAAGGCAACCCTTAAATATATGCATCGTCAACATCACATTGTACAACTTTGCACAACTTCTTTGTATACATAAGAAAACTGAAACTCAGAGAGAGTAAGGATATTACCCAGTCACACAAAATTGTGGGACTGAGTTTTCTTAAACAGAATTTTACTTCTACACTATGGTTCACTATTTTATTTTCTTCCTTTCCTCTTTTTAATTTGGAAGCATTAGGTCTAGAAGTGAAATACAATGACAGAATGGTTTCACTCATAGGTAGAATAGAAATAACTAAAGCAAATGAACTGGCAAAAACCCAACAAAATCATTCCTTAGACTCAGTAAAATTATAATGGTTACCACAGGGTTAAAGAAGGGGTAGGGAAAGTGAATAGAAGGGTCTTTTGGGGAGTGGAATGGTCCTGGAAATCTGGTGGTCAGAGTGGTTAGAATTATAAACATAAACAGGGGTGAAGCTATGCCCCCTTGCAATTCCATAGTATTGTAAAACAATGATGTCAACAAAAATAAAACAAATATTTTTCAACCAGTTAAAAAAATGAATTCCACCTCTACCTAGGCTTACTTAAATCATTCTTAAATGTTCTGGAACAAGTGGATCTAAAATACTTGGTGAATAGAGGACAGTAGAGATAAGGGCCAGAAAGACTGCTCCACATTTGGAAGCCTGTCTCATAAGTTGGGAGCGAAGGCAGCCAGGATAAAGAACGGAACACTAAGTTAATGATAGTGTGAGGGATCACTCGGGATGGGAGATGTGTGCTGACAGTATATAAAGGACCAAACATGATGACCTCTCAGTATCTGTTTTGCAAACCATAATGCCCAAAAGTAGAGAGAAAGTAAGAAGAAAATTGTCTGCCACAGAGGCAGGGGGTAAGGTGGGGTAGGGAGGGGAGTGGCAGAGGGGGCATACTGGGGATATTGCTAGTGGAAAATGTACACTGGTGGAGGGATGGGTGTTTGATCATTATATGACTGAAACTCAATCATAAAAGCTTTGTAACTGTATCCCACGGTGATTCAATTTTTTAAAAAAGTACTTGGAGATGTGTACAAATTGTGACTCAGACTCCTTCACTCCCACACTCCATATAACTGCATGAAAGAAAAAAATCAATGTGTTATATATGGTATATTCAAGAAAGAAACAAAGAAAGAGAGAGAAATAGAGAAAGGAAGAGAGACAGTAAGGAAGAAAGAAAAAAACAAAGGGAGAAAGAAAGAAAGAAAGAAAGAAAGAAAGAAAGAAAGAAAGAAAGAAAGAAAGAAAGGCAGGCGTGAGAGAGAAAGAAAGAAAGAAAGAAAGAAAGAAAGAAAGAAAGAAAGAAAGAAAGAAAGAGGAGAGGAGAGGAGAGGAGAGGAGAGGAGAGGAGAGGAGAGGAGAGGAGAGGAGAGGAGAGGAGAGGAGAGGAAGGAAGGAAGGAAAGAAGGGAGGAGGGGAGGAAGGAAGGAAGGAAGGAAGGAAGGAAGAGAGGAGAGAGAGAGAAAGAAAGAAAGAAAGAAAGAAAGAAAGAAAGAAAGAAAGAAAGGAAGGAAGGAAGGAAGGAAGGAAGGAGGAAGGGAGGAGGGGGGAGGGAGGGAGGGAGGGAGGGAGGAAGGAAGGAAGAAAGAAAGAAAGAAAGAAAGAAAGAAAGAAAGGAAGGAAGGAAGGAAGGAAAGAAGGAAGGAAGGAGGAAGGGAGGAGGGGGAGGGAGGGAGGGAGGAAGGAAGGAAGGAAGGAAGGAAGAAAGAAAGAAAGGAAGGAAGGAAGGAAGGAAGGAAGGAAGGAAGGAAGGAAGGAAGGAAGAAGGGAGGAGGGGGAGGGAGGGAGGAAGGAAGGAAGGAAGGAAGGAAGGAAGGAAGAAAGAAAGAAAGAAAGAAAGAAAGAAAGAAAGAAAGAAAGAAAGAAAGAGAGAGAGAAAAGAGAGAGAGCAAGAAGTTTGGTATCAATATAGGAATGTGTGCCTTGATCGTAATGCCTGTATACTCAAGAGCTGAGACAAGAAACCAGTCCTCTTGGGAGTGCAGCGCCACCAGCAGGTCAATCTGTAGCTATGGGGCAAGTGGACTGGTAGCCTGATGGTGCCCTCAGACTTCCTGATACTCAAAAATTGCCACTATGCTTCTGGCCGGATACCAACAATTCAGGACTAAGTTTGCTGAGAAGTTAAATGGCCAAAAATTAGGTATGTGGGAGCCACTCCCACAAATCACCTCTGGCTTAGCTATACAAGCTCATTTAACGGTCTTGCTTCAGAGACCCATAAATAAATCTCAAAAGAGATCAAAAGCCTCAATTAATCTCGGACCCATGCAAGGCTTAACAAACCAGGGTAAATCAGAGTTGGAGGTGGATCAGCCTGATGCCGGCCTAAGTAGAGCCCCTGGCAGCCACTTCCTCCCACAATCAAGAATCGAGGCCATGCCCCTGGCCAGACAACACTGTCTCAGGATGCGATTCACCAAGATGTAATCTGCTGAAAATTTAGGTATGTGGATTTTATAACTGAAATCTCCAGGCTTTCTTAGGGTCAAGATAGACTACCTACCTCCACCTCTGAGGTACTTTCACGTGAGTACCTTGGAAGTCACGTCCACTTCCCAAAGCTGTCACCCAGTTTGAAAAGCTACTCCAGTCTTATCTTCCCTATAAAAATACTGAGCACCCTGAACAAACATGATGCCTTCTTAGTACCTGTATTATAAATCATAACGCACAAAAGGAGAGAGAGAGAGAGAGAAAGAGAGAGAGAGAGAGAGAGAGAGAGAGAGAGAAGTGCTTGTCATAGAGGCAGACATGGGGGATGGTGGGAGGGAAACAGTGGACATTGGTGTTGGAAATATACACTGATGGAGGGATGGATGTTGGATCACTGTATGACTGAAATCCAACCATAAACAGCTTTGCAATGGTTTATCTCATGAACATCCAATAAAACATTTAAAATAATAATAAAACAAAATTTCTACCTTGACAGGTTTGAAAAAAAAGAAACCAGGTCTCTTCTGCAGACATATAAATGGCCCTTTATACCCCAAGACTGGACTACACATTCTTCTCCAGTGCATGGGACATTCTCCAAGAAAGACAACATGTTGGGTCACAAAACAGATCTTCATAATATCAAAAAGACAGAAATTTTATCAATTATCCTCTCAGACCATTATTCATTAAAGAGAGAAATGAAACACAAAGAAATTAGGAAACCCAAACACTTGGTAATAAACAAGAAGTAAGTATTCTCTTAAAATAAAACCATTAAAAACAGAATCTGTAAAAAAATAAAATATACAGAGTAACAGGAGCAACAAATGGAGAGTTGGTCCAATGGAACTGTGTTTACATGAGGGCGGTGGAGATATAACTAGGAGGGTCTTCAGTACAGTGGTGAAGGGAAGCCTGCATTTTTGTGGTAGGGATGGTGTTGGAACATTGTATACATGAATCAATGATTGGTTTGTGAAACAAGGTACCTCAAAAATTTAAAGAAGAAAGAAGGAAGAGAAGGAGGGATGGGAGATGAAGGAAGGAAGGAAGGAAGGAAGGAAGGAAGGAAGGAAGGAAGGAAGGAAGGAGTCTTCTGAGTCCTCATGCAGTCTATTTCCATTTCACACTAAGCATGCAGTGGAGTTTTAAAGAGAACTCCAGTGCCCCTCTTGGCTCTTATTTCAAATTAGAAGCCTTTGCCTAGGAAGAGATGTGCTAACAAATATGACTGCTTTCTTACTCAGAAGCATTGCTAAATTAATTTATTAACTAGTTTCCTTGGGCAAAATGGTAGAGAACTTGTGGGCTAGGTAAATAGTATAGTAGACAGAGACCTTGCCTTGCATGTGGCCAGCCCAGATTCAATCCCCAGCACCACATAGAGTTCCCAGAGTGCCACCAAGAGTGGTCCCTAAGTGCAGAGCCGGAGAAAACCCTGAACACTGCTGGGTGTTGTACCTCACCCCCCAAAAATAGACAAGAACCTTGGGGCCTGAGAGATCATGTAGACACTTGCTTTGCAAGCAGCCATCTCTAGTTCAGTCCTTGGCACTACATATGATCCCCAGATCACCTCCAGGAGTAGGCTCTGAACACTGACTATGAGGTAAGGACCCCTCCCAAAAGAAAGGCTCCGAAAGGGAACAACTTCCTGAGAGAAAGGTACCACTTAGAGTCAGCATGTATAGCATATCCTTGTATAAAATATTTGTGGGGGGAGTAGCTGATAATTTTAATTTTACAACAGGTAGGGCATTTGCCTTGCATGTGGTTGACCTGGGTTCGATTCCTCCGTCCCTCTCGGAGAGTCCAGCAAGCTACCAAGAGTATCCCGCCTACACGGCAGAGCCTGGCAAGCTCCCCATGGCATTTTTGATATGCCCAAAACAGTAACAACAAGTCTCACAATGGAGACATTACTGCTACCCCCTCAAGTAAATCGATGAACAGCGGGAGGACAGTGCTACAGTGCTACTTATTTTAGCACTGTAGCACTGTCCTCCCGTTGTTCATCGATTTGCTTGAGCGGGCCCAGTAACATCTCCATTGTGAGACTTGTTGTTACTGTATTTGGCATATCGAATACATCACGGGAAGCTTGCCAGACTTTGCCGTGCGGGCGAGATACTCTCGGTAGCTTGTCGGGCTCTCCGAGAGGGGCAGAGGAATTGAACCCAGGTCAGCCGGGTCAGCCGAGTGCAAGGCAAACGCCCTACCCGCTGTGCTCTCGCTCCAGCCCTTACTGATTTTAAAACTTTCTTATTGATTGAATTTCCTTGATTAACACTACTGTTTACCTGTATCACCTGTTGTGCCATTGTACATTGATTTGCTCGTGCAGGCACCAGTAACGTCTCCATTCATCCCATCCCTGAGATTTTAGCAGCCTCTTCTTACTCGTCTTTCCCAACGCTGCTGTATTGGAGGCTCTTTCAGGGTCAGGGGAATGAGGCCAGTTTTTTGTTACTATTTTTGGCATATCGAATATGCCATGGGGAGCTTGTCAAGCTCTGCCGTGTGAGTGGGATACCCTCGGTAGCTTGCTGTTAATGATGGTTTACATCACCAGTGTACTCACCTCCCTCACCCAACGCACCTCCCTTTTAATTCCTAATTTTGTGGATCAGTTTTCCCATTGTGTTGTCATTTTTTTTCTGCTTTTTGGGTCACACCCAGCGATGCACAGGGGTTAGTCCTCGCTCTTCATTTAGGAATTACTCCTGTGGTGCTTGGGGACCATGTGGGATGCTAGGAATCGAACTCGGGTTGGCCGCGTGCAAAGCAAACGCCCTACCTGCTGTGCTATCGTTCCAGCCCCTGTGTTGTCATTTTTAATTTTAATGTAATTTTAGGTATTATGGTTTGCAAGCTGTTATTAGTAGTGTTTCATACATGAACTACTTCCACACCAAACCCTCCACCCAGGTGTCCACTTCCCTACACCATTGTCGCAATGTCCCTCACCTTAATTATAATGTGCTTAATATTCAGCAAATTCTACCTCTATATTCCTCCCAACCAATCCAGGTGGAATAGACACATTGTAGCACCTCTCTATAAAGGTAACAGCTGGGTAAAGCAGACATACCTTTAACAGGCGGTACCTTTGATCACGAACTGCCATAATTTCTTCTATAGCAGGAATATCATAGGGCAGCTCTTTCTCAGCCAGCTCAGTTCCAAAGCACTGTAACATCTGAGCCATTTCTTTCACTGTGAGGGCAAAATTTTCAATAGCCTGCAAAGAGCCAATGATACGTTTTGATTATTTTAAAACAGGGCTGGAGCGATAGCACAGCAGTAGGGCGTTTGCCTTGCACGCAGCCAACATGGCCGACCCGAGTTCGATTCCTCCGCCCCTCTCAGAGAGCCCGGCAATCTACCGAGAGTATCTCGCCCGCACGGCAGAGCCTGGCAAGTTCCCCGTGACGTATTCAATATGCCAGACACAGTAACAACAAAGTCTCCAATGGAGATGTTACTGGGCCCGCTCAAGCAAATCGATGAACAACGGGGGGGCCTTTACCTATTTTAAACCAATGATTTTATGGAAACACCATCAGAGAAGCAAGCAATTATCAGTAAATATATTTAATTTTGTTTAAGTACGACAGAAAACACATAAATGAACTCGCCCTATACTAAAGAAATTTACCACTGATCTAGGCCAGGCTCTAATGTTTGCATCTAAGACATTAAAAACTAAGTGAGATGAAGAGTCTTCTTCACTGACGTTTAGCTAAAGGACTGTACTTATATCTTAAATACCAAGAAACAGTGATTGCAGGAATTGAGAAAAATTGTCTTATGCTCTTACAAAACATGGGTTTTCTTTACTGTCTTAAAATCTACAATTATAAAGTTGCTTTTGAAATTTTTTTGAAGATAAATGAGAACATCAAAGTCACTTTTTATAGATTTATTAGTATTTTTTTACTAAGGTGATGGAAAAACATCTAGCTTCAAAATAATTCATTTCAGAGAACACAGAAGACTTTTATCTGGCTCTATTGCCCTGAAACTGTCAGGAAAGGTTGCGCTGTTTAATTTCCTGACAAAATCAATCAATCCCAGATCAGGGCAACATGGAAAGATTGTATAAGTCTTCTGTTTACCGTGCAGCTAAAGGTATCTGCTCTCTGATTATTTTGACAATGTATTTTCATATGAATCAATGGGACTAATGAAAAACTATGAATGAAGGAAATATGATCCTTAAGTTAATGTCCTTTTTTCCTTTAGAAGAATTCCCATATCTCCAGGATTTAATTTATTTATTTATTTTTATTTTTTGAAGCAAGCAGAGGTTCTTATACCACAGACTCATACCTGAGAGGTGCAGGACTATAGGGTATTCAAACACAAGGAATCGTTGCTGCAAATCTGCCTCAAGAACATCACTAGACTGATAAGATTAACAATATTGCTTGTCTAATTTGAAGGCTTGTCATATTCCAGTAACTGTGTCCAACGTTTTTTTAAATTGCATTAAATTTTTCCAAAATTCTTTTGAGGTAAAGTACTAAAGTTACATTTTACAACTGGGAAAACTGAGACCCAGAGAGGTCCTACAACTTGTCCAAGGCCATAGAGTGACAAGTTAGTCATGCTAAGACTTGAGCCCAAGCATTTCATTTCTACATGGCCAAATAGGAAGCAGAGATTGTACTCTTGATCTCCTAGTTTTATCTTCTTAGTGCCTGTTTCAGTAGCTCTTCATTTCAAAGCATCACTTAAGGAAGAAAATCAAGATATTGATATGACCTAGCAATATCACTTCTTTGCATATTATACCCAAAGCACAGAAACATAATTTGAAAGCATATATGTATACCTATATTCATCATCACACTTAGTACAATAGCCAAGATAGGAAAACAACCCAAATGTCCAATAACAGATGAATGGATCAAGAAGATGTGATATATGTATATATAACACATATATCACATTGTATATATCTATAATAAAATACTATGAAGCCCTAAGAAAGAACAAACATGTAATTTTCAGCAATATGGAAAGAACTATAGGATATCATACTGAATGAACTTATTCAGATGGAAAGAGATACAGGATGATCTCTCTCATATGTGGGACTTTAAGAGACACAGCAAGGTAGCAATGAAAGGCCAAAAGCAACATAATTGGAGAAATCATACACAGAATAAATTTGGGGGATTAGGGGGATGTGTTTGGGGATCCCTGGGATAGGGAAGGGATACACTAAGGGCAGGTGTAGTGTTGGAATTATGTATATGAGAAACCATTATCAATAGCACTGTAAACCACAGACTCACAATAAACATTTTTGCAAAAGAGAATCAAGATGTTGAATCACATATGTATCTGAAAAGTAGGAATCCCAGAAGTCTGTCTTTCTTCCAGAGGAACAAAATTCTAGAACTGTATTTAAAGACCAACATAACTATAGGTTCTATAGTAAGGGCAAATAAAACATACATTTCTGAAGATGATCCATTCTCTGTGGCAGTAATGCAGGGTGCCGCCTAACTCAGGGGTTAATTGCTTTTCATCGATGTATGTCAGCAAATCACTAACTGAGCTCAGCATAACAACCTATACAAATAAGCAAGAAAGATATTGTTAAACTGTTAACTCCCTTCATGACATCTTTGCATTTAAGTGTGAAATGAACTAAAGCATCTATTTAGCTGCTTATCTTTAATAAATGGTTCCCAGATTCTCTCCTGTCTATCCACCCCACACCTGCATAAGCACATGCATGAGAACTAAGGTGTTTTAATCTTCAGTTTTCATTTACAAAACATTTCTCTATAAAGAAAAATTAATCTCCAAGGAAAACCCAAACATTTCATTCTCTTTGATCTAAAATTTTGCACTGTTACCAGTTAATCTTTTGAAAGATACATACCTATGACAAAGTAAGGGGGTTTTATGCAGCAAATTATAATTTATCAGGAGGAACAGATATTTGCAAAAGTATCAAAATTTATGAATATTCTATTTCTAACACTAATACATGAAAGTATCTTCAACAAAAAGAACATCCTACTCTGTGTTAGCATAGGCTATAAAATTCTTGGAAGTTCAAATACATAAATGACACCCATTTTTACTAAAAATAAAAGGTCCATATTCTATATACATGCATACATACATAACATAGAAAATGTTTTTAAGACATGTTTTGTTTTGCTTTGCTTTGTTGTTTGCAATATTTAGAATTATATCCAAGTCCTCACATATAAGGCTTGCCCTCTTATACTGAGACACATTCCTAGTCATTATTTTATTTTTTTTAAATGCTTTGTAAGTGCATGTACAAAGGCTTTGTAGGCATCATGGGATCAAAACACTGGAAAATATAGTCTTACTGGTAATTTCAGCATAAAATCCTCCTGACTAAATCGAAATCCAATGTCTGTAAAAGTTCGTTGAAGAAAACTGGTAGGTCGGAGAACCAGAACCAAGTGCAAACTCCCAGGGAAGGAAGCCTGTAATGCAAAAAGAAAGGAAAATATTTCAAAACATGTACTAAGTAGGCATGCATTTAAAAAGATGTATGCCTTGGTTCAGTCCCCAGCATCAAAAAAAGAAAGAAGTAAAACAAATTTGAAAGTCATAAAAGCCACTCAAAGGAAACAACTTTTAAAATAATACTGATAAAATCTAAAACCATGGAAACAGAAATAAAATTAGTGTAAGGTTATTAGAGTTGATCCTGGCAATGTTTATGAGATGGAATTTTCTCATAGTAAAGTCAAACCTAAGTCACAAAGAACTATATTCTTCAATTCCACTTGAAAGTTAGTTATGTGCACCCAACTAGCATTGATTCTCTGCAAAAAAATAAATGTAATTAGGAAACAGTTCCCCAGGACAGAACTAAAAGTCAAAGGCAGATGAAATACCAGGTAATAAAAGAAAACTTTGTTTTTAAGTCTCTTTTTTATTCTCATCCCAGCAACATTCACTGAGTATCTTCTTCATGTTCACACGATGAGGTGAATGATTGTCAGGAACTGGTAAAAGTCAGTGTATGCAAATAGAATGAGATGGAAGGTGCCCTACTTTTGCCAACACTTAAAGACAAATTACTTTCATTCTTTCATTGATACTTAGTTGCTATGGATCCTTTTTCTCTATGACAATGCTTAATGTTCTGTTTTTTATATTGTGGAGGAAATTTCCAAGTGCATACAAACATTAGGAATGTTTTGGAACCTTGAAGCTTGGAATATTTACCCACATACAAGATGGGTGCAAGTGGTGTTTGGTTGCAGGGGAAATAGTATGTAAACACAAACAAAACAAAGAAACACTGTCCTCCCATTGTTCATCGATTTTCTCGAGCGGGCCCAGTAACGTCTCCATTGTGAGATTTGTTGTTACTGTGTTTGGCATATCCAATACGTCACGAGTAGCTTGCCAGGCTTGCCAGGCTTGGCTTGGTCGGTAGCTTGCCAGGCTCTCTGAGAGGGGCAGAGGAATCGAACCTGGGTCGGCTGGGCTGGCTGCGCACAAGGCAAACATCCTACCACTGTCAGAAATGAATATTTGTCAACTGTGACTGAGGAGGCAAGACTCTGGTCTCTACCTTATCAACCTATAAGATCAATAACGTCCCAGCAGTCAAGTCCGTGTATAGCTTGTACTCTATCATGTATGTAGGTGACACATGCATGTATGACACAGCTGATAACACAAGAAGGAGAGAGAAGCTAAATTATAATTCACATACTCTGCAAAGAAGGTTAAGTTATGGTTTAAGGAAATTCAGCTGCTTCTAAATCAAGGATTTTATGTTGGATGGTTGGTTATTAAGTCAACTATTGCCTCCACTTGAAAAGAGGTTATCCCAAACACTGAAAGCTGCATGAAATACTTCTAAAAAGTAATTCTACAGTTTAATTGGATCATTCTTTCTTATTTTTATTTTTTTTTTTTGTTTTGGGGCAGTACCTAGCAGTGCTCAAGGATATATATATATATATATATATATATATATATATATGGTATTTTAGACTGAACCAGAGTTAACTGCATGCAAGGCAAGCACCTTATGCTCTGTACTAACTCTCCAGCCCTTAACCAGATCACTATCAAGTTAAACTTTGATTCTTTTATCACATACTCTCCTTAATTAATTTCTTTAAAATGTTCAGATATTTGTTTTCCCCAAGAGTTTGTATTTTTAGAGAAAATGGACTATCATAAATGAAAACTTCATTTATCTGCCTGTATAACTGCACTTACAGTGTTTTTCAGTATAGAATAACTTTAGATTCTCTACTGAGATATTTTACAAATTTTTCTAGAACATAGATTCTTTTAATCCCATAGTTATTCTTAAATTTAGCAATCATTTGGAAGAACACAGAGCTTGCATGCATTAACTACACAACCACTAAACTGAATAACACTCAAACATATCATTTGTCAGGCTTTTTTTACAAAACTGAAATGTGTGGTTCAGACCAGGAACATTGTTTCTATCCCTCATGCTCATAATATCCATATTTGACTGAGATATATTAATTTTTCCATCTCAATCCCATGCACTTATCCCAAATATTAGGACTTTCTAATTATAGTGAGTACCTAACTTCACATGAATTACTATTTGTATCTTCTCTCTAGGGAAAAATACATAAGCATTAAGGTAGGGAAAGGAAGTTGGATAACTTGTGGTCTATTTTTATGCTCATTTCACAACTGGAGAAACTGGAGAAACTGTGATTAGACAGAATAACAATTCCCCAGGTATGTTCGTATCCTAATCCTCAGAACCTGTAGGATTTCTTCTCTGACAGAAGATAGACTTTGTCAGAGTGACTGGGTTCAGGTAATTGAGATGGAGAATGATCTGGGATCATTGATGTGGGACAGTGTAATTTCAAATGCCCTTATCAGGCAAGAGAGTAAGAGAAGCATATGTGGTAACAGAATCAGAGTAATACAGGCCCATAAGTCCAAGAATGTGGGCAGCTTTTAAAAATGGGAAAAGTTAAGGGAAGTAATTCTTCTCTAGAGTTTTCTGGAAGGAATATGGCCCTTCTGATACTGTTTTTTAGCACAGTAACATAAATTTTGGACTTCTATAAAATTATAACAGAATATATTTCTGTTGTTTTGAGTGGTAATTCGCTACATCAAAAACAAATAATTAATACACTGAGATTTTGTGAGGTTAACTTATTTGTCAAGGAAGACTGTTTGTTGGCTTATACCTGGAAGAATTCAAACCTAGATTCACCTGACCACAGAGCTAGGTTTTTAAGCAAGCTATAAGTGAAACATGAACAAAAGTTTAATTTTTCATTTCTCAGGAGGAATGACAAATAGAAAAAAGGTTCAAAAGGAGAAATTTAGAGATGTATATCAAAGGTGACACAAGAATCAGGTCTAAGGGCAAGAGTAAACCCTGGGGCTCCACAGCAGGTAGGGCGTTTGCCTTGCACGCAGCCAACATGGCCGACACAGGTTTAATTCCCAGCACCCCATATGGTCCCCTGAGCACCGCCAGGAGCAATTCCTGAGTGCATGAGCCAGGAGTAACCCCTGAGCATCGCCGAGTGGTGTGACCCAAAAAAGCAAAAAAAAAAAAAAAAAAAAAAAAAAGAGTAAACCCTGATGCAAATCAAAGTAAAGGTGCCGTAAATGCCTACTGTATGGATGATGGAAATGTAGAAAATAGGGGAAATGAGTATTTTAATGAAAACACTGAATGGATGAGATGTAAAATGGCAATTGATACTTTTCTGAGATAATAATAGGAAAAAGTTAGGCAAATTTGGAAAGCTGGAAGTGGTGTGTGTGTGTGTGTGTCTGTGTGTGTGTGTGGTGTGTGTTGGGGTAAGAGAGTACACCAGCTAGGCAAATCGAATTATGTCATGTGGAAAGAAAGGCCCAGGTTTGCCAAATCTTTACTACCACAACAGAAGCCAAACATCCAGATTTCTGAGTGAAACTTAAAAATATTACAAGTACAGAGTTTATGAAAACACTCTACAGTCAAATCAGCTCTAATGCTTATCAGTTTCATCCTTTGAGCTAAAGCTTCCTATACATTAATTTCTAAAAATATCAAAGAGCATGCACATTGCTTTCTGTGTGATTACTTGCTAGAACATTGGACAGGACAGAGTACAGTTGAGAAAATTTAGTCTAAGAGACCTGATAGATTTAAGATCAATTTGCATAAGTTTACATGTGAACATACATAAGGTATATGGTGAGGAAAGTGTTCTGATGTGATATTTGCAGAACTGAAAGTCTCCAAATAATCCATTTTAAAATTAGCACTTAAGTGAACAATCAAATAGCACATCCCAATCCATAAAAGTATCAGAACCACCTATCTGAGAGCAAATGTGACCCTAGATCATTGAGTTTTTGCATTTCAGTTTAGGAATGTGAATGACATTTCGATATTATTTTATGGGCTACTTTAAGGATCACTGATCCCAAAGGTTATGTAAACATGGAAAAAGCACAGTATCTACTTTCTCCACAGCCAGCTCCAGACTTGAAAACTATAAATCATTTTTGAGGACTTATCAGAAAAGCAAAAGAATAAGGATAGGGGTCAGCCTTGTGCTAGCTTGTTTTTTCTTTCTTTTTTCTTTACCAACTCCCCCCAAATACAGCCTCGGGGAAGAAACAGAAACAGCACTAGTTTTTGCTTCTTGTAGGCACTTGGGTTTTTTTTCTGCAGTTTGAACTTGATTGATTAAAGATGCCTCAGGTGAAGGGAATGCGCTGTCCATCTTCACAGAGCTCAGAGCCTCAGCCTCAGAGTTCAGAGTCTCAGGACAACAGCCCCTGCAGCAGCTCTCCAGATGAACTCATTTAGCTTTCTCTCACCTTTTCCTCCTAAAGAGATAATTTTCTCATTTCCCCTTACCCTTCCTGCTCAGTTTCGTGGCTTTGCAGCAGTTAAGAGCAGTAAGAACAGTAAAAAGCATAAAGTGAATGCATGCAGGCCTTCACTACTCAATCTGAAAATTAAATTTATCATTCTTTGGTGTGGCAATTCATACCCAAGAGTGCATACTTTGCAGTGACTCTAGTTTAATTTTTTTAATGTTTAAAATGCCCTCATTCCATGTGAAATTTTGGTCAATCACGTTCAATAAATCCATTGATATTACCAGAATTTTTAAAAAATGTATCATTCTTTTAATATTTGGGCAAAGAAATTAAAAGGAGAAGACACTTGACTGAGATTTGTGTGCTGTGTCAGACTTATTATACATATCCTCTCTTCAGCCTATGTAACACTGCAGCTTCGTCATTAGTATTGCCTTTTGATAGACAGGCACACTAAGTTCACACTTAGTAAGCAGTGCCACCCAGACCTCTCTGAATTTTGTTTTCTTTCTGGGTCACACCAGGAGATACTCAGGGGTAACTCCTGTTTCTGCACTCAGGAATTACTCGTGGCGGTGCTCAGGGGACCATACCAGATGCCAGGGTTTGAACCCGGCCGGCAGCATGCAAGGCAGATGCCCTACCCACTGTGCTATCGTTCCGATCCCCCTGTCTGAACTTTAATGACCAGTTCCTTCAATGATTTCTGAACACTTTTCAGGACACACACTTTGTTCAGCCCAAAACCCATGCTCAAAGTTGCTGCTCAGCAAGTAGATATGTCTTGACCTTGACATCTATCAATTGGGAAAAAATATTAATAGTCAAAAGTTGCTGGAAAAAATATAGCCTCCTGGAGTCTGCTTGAATGGAAACTATTATAACCTAATTAACTCTAACTGAATATAATGTTGACATATTTGTATATGACTGGGGACTTATGGGGAGTTTCCAATACTGTGTTCTACTTCTACAGTCCTACCCTGCACAAGATATAAAAGAACACAAAAGTGCAAATAACTCTACAGATCACCAAACAGCTTGCCAAGTGACCTCAGGAGCAGGACAGTCTAGAATATTTTTCCTTCAGTGGACCCTTGTGATCACATATCTATTCTCATCTACTCCCCTGCACTTCATCACAGAAATTTCAGTTTGTACTAAGAAACAAGTTTAATCCTCTCTTTGAGAATTTAATTTGCTAGACCATCCTTCCAAATGCTACCCTTCATTGACTACAGAGTCAAACCAACTCCAGAGATCCTTCAAGGTCAAATCACCGGATGAGTTTCAAATATTTCTCTCTGGTTAAGCCCTATCCTTATAAGTAAAAGGAATCCATCTTCCACGAAAGTTCTGGACATCAGTTTAATCCAACCAATTTTATTTTAAGGCATCTGTTCCTAGGGATCACTTACAAAGCTTACATTTAAGAGGAAAAAGAAAGGAAACAGAAATATATGTTCATGTTCAAGGTCTAAACAAATTTCACCTCCTTTATGAGATCTTTCCCATGACCTGGTTCTTTTGCAATACATATGAACAATATATCCTGCTCTCTCTTCAAAAGTGAGAGTTCCCTAAGTTCAACAGTTCTGTATTTACACAAGTAAATAGTACTAGATATATCTGTTCAATGAGTACCTGTGTGTTGTGCATGCATATATATTATATATGCATATATACATAATACAAAGATCTGCACATAAACACATCAATGCATGCATAAAGAAATTAGGGACTTTGTGAGACCTTAAGTAAGTTGTTTTTGATAATAAAAAAACACTTGTGTCAATTGCATGAAAAAGAATGAAGCACAGACAGGGATTTCTCATGCACTGTAAATTGTTAAAAGTTTAAAGTTATCATTAACATAATACAGAGTCGCATGTAGAACAAAACACAAAATTTTGTCTAAAGTAAAAACCATATGCAAACTTAATTTTAAATAATCTTCCCATGGAAAGAGTTTTATTGGAGGATCAATAACTTATTCATTGCCATTCAACAATAAAATTCTTAATTGCTTACCCCATCCCCTTACTTTCCTTTTAATTTCAATGGTCTTTCCTTCTACAGCTGATTTTGATTTGCTTATTGTGTTTATGCTATCTTATCTTTTTGAGGAGCAAGTTTATTTTAAATTGTAAGATCACTAACATTTGCCTTAAAATGAAAGAGTGGCTTGTAAAATTTGGTGATAATGAGTTAGTTATGAAATTAGTGTTAGTTCACACTTCTCTAAAATACATCTAGAAGTGCCTTGGAAGTTTGCTGGAAATTTGGTATACTGGTGAACCAATAATGGTGAATTCTTAGTTAGAAAACTAAAATTTGTCTGAAAGGAAAGAGTACTAAATTTTAGTTCTATAATGAAAAAAATAGTCAGCTTTTTCTTTTAAAAAAAAGTTGTCAACAGGCTAGAATTCTCCATCTTTATGAGTTTGGAGGAATCTGAAACCAGAAAGATTTTCTATCATTACAGACTTTAACATGTTTTTCACTTGTATACCCAAAAAGAGCTGCCTTTTTAAATGCTGATGAGCTTGTCTCCAGACCCGTCCATGAGATCATACTCTACTTGACTACAAGGAAAGAAAAGATGAATCCTTTTGTTAAATATTACTTTCACTCGTGATTCCAAGCAACTCTGTCAAATGATTCCAAATGATTCTTCGAGTCTTTAACTAATAAATTGACTAGTCATGCTTCCTCCAAAACTTGATCACATGTCGACTTTGAAATTACATTTGACACCTCCTTGACTCCTTTACCTACCCCTACGTCAGTATCACCATAAGCACATCAACACAATCCATGCAAGCACAAATCTCCATTCTCTCCATCTGTCCTGAAACACCCTGTTCAGCAGTCTGTGCTATAGCACCATGCTGCAGCATCCCTGAACTTGGGAATAGGTTTTCCAGGACTGCAGGCAGAGAGCCCTTACCGCATTCCTTCTGAACCTCATCTTGCTTCTCGGGGGATTTGCTTCTGCCATTGCGCCTAGACACAATAACACTCTTCTTGTCCAATTGTCAACGCAACATTGATGAAATATGAGCTGCGTCTTGGGTAGGATTTAAAAGTGGCAGCCAAAAATCTCTATCCAACAAAGCTCCCGTGGCTGCTTCCGTTACCGCTGCCATGGCAGCACTGCATAAAACCCACTATCCCTTGATTCGTCAGCTGACAGATCCTTCCCTGCTGCTCATTGTAATTCACAGCTGACACGGTCCCCCAATTACTTAGCCGGATTGAACCTCATAGATTAGTTTGTGCAGGACTCCACAAGAAGATCTGGCCGGTCCTAAGAGAGGAGGAAGGGAGAGGGGGGAGGAAAAGCCTCTCCTAAGGGCTTGATGCGACTGGCTTTCTCCTCTGCGGAGTTTGATTTTTAAGGTGGAGTGGTAAGAATTGTGAAGGTAGTATTCACTGAGATCTTTATTCTTCTCCTACCCAAGTCTTTCACTTTGAATTTAACTCTTCTTTTCAAATCAGTACTTTGGGGATTTAAATTGTGCGAAAGATGGACAATTCAAGAAGGTCTGTTCTTATGGTAATCTGAAAAAAATATCACATGCAAACTTTTAAGGTGGATAAGGGTCCCTGGTCAACATGTCTCCCCAAAGTGTAATTAAAAGGAAAAAAACTCTTGTGTCTCCTTTCACTAATTATGAAGCATAACCTAACTATCCAGTTTCTTTGGGAATTCACAGATTAAGGTTTTCAAGTTGAATTGTCTCTTTCTATTATTTAAAATAATACACAAAAGACACACCTATCTAGACAGTGGAAACTTCCAACAGAAATCCTTCCTGAAAGCCAGCTCTTTCTCTTATAATGATTGTGTATCAGGTATTATTAATATCCAGTAATATCCAGTATTCCTGCAAAGAGTGCAATTGACTATTAATGACTGAGATATAATTAATGCTAGCAAATGGAGATAGCAAAAAGATGACCAGCTCCTCAGTCCAACAACCTAGATTGTCTTTTCTTCACAAGGGAATCAATGTTCCTTGGTGGCCTCCTGTGCTAGTCAGGACAGAAAGCAATAATTTCAGGGGGTCAAATATCTCGGACTCACAAAGTAAGAAATTCATTGTTTCCCAGTTAATCTGATCTGATAGAAGTTGACCACATGCTACTCCTACAGAAAGACCCAATCTTGCAGTTCAGAAGGAAGGAATATGTAGGGTCCTCACCTCTCTCCTCTTCTAAGTAAGAGAAGACCTATGCAATGCTACTATATTTGGTTGAGGCTTATAATGTATAAAGATCATCTTGTCTGTGAACAGGATTTGCATCTTCCATATTGTTCCCTTTAGAGTAGAACACTAGTTTTTAGCCACCAGCCCAGGAACCAATGCCAGGTGTAAACAGGGTTAAAAGCACTGATTTAGAGAAACTGTTCTCTACTGGGGTCTTGGGAAACTGAGAATTAGAATTCAATAGGGGTGGATATGTCATTTAGCAATGACATGGAAGAAGGTTCACCTTCCTACTCTAACCCAGAAGGGAAAACGTCCAAAAGAATACACACCAAGATGTTTTAAAGTACTGATTTCTGGATGTTCGGATTATTGACCAGCCTTCTATGTACTTCTCCATGTAAAATAAATATACAATATAACTATTTTTATTTTTAAGTTCCCATAAAACTTTGCCTTGCAATCGATTGTATAAGGATCCATAAATCTCTCTACATTCATTTATTATGCATTCTTTCCCATTAGGGTTTAGTTTGGGTTAAGCTCTTTCACTTAATATCGTCTACTGTTTTCCTCTTACTTTCCAACCTCACAATCCCACCTATTTCTTTTTTTTTTTTTTTGTGGCACTGTGATTTACAGTACTGTTCATTACAGGATTTCTTTTTATTTTCTCCATTAGTATCAAAATAACCTGTGTCCCCCATCCAAAAAGGAATAATGTGAATCTAAAATAAGATGTTACCATGGAATGCATTAGTACTTACTGAAATTTTATGGAGAGAGATTTTGAGAGAAGTCCATGAGTCCAATCTCCGATCAACAATAAGGATAAACCGGCCATCAGATCCCCTCTGCCTGTACATTTAGAAGAAAATGATTCATGTAGTAATAACCCAAATTTTCTAGGTATTTTCTCATTTTCGATTACTTTATTTATGCTTTATCTATTTAATTTGCTTTTGGATCACACCTGGTGATGCTCAGCGATTACTCCAAACAAGTTGCTTGGGGGATGGTGTTATCCCATGCAAAGTTCAGAATCATGTAGTGCCATGGATTGACCCAAAACTTCCTGCACATAAAACAAGCACACAAGCCCTTGAGCTCACACTCCAGCCCCTTTTGATGTTTTGATTCAAGACAGATGTATATTTGAAAAACTATTACAAGTACTACCTTGAAAAGTCAGTTGTATTCCATATACAACTACTCACTATGTAAATATTTTCTTTTTCTATTTGCTTGTTTTGTTTCTTGTTTTGGGGCAACACCTGGCAGTGCCATAGGCTAAAATGAATTTGGGGTACTGTAATTATGGGTATGGCTAAAACTTATACAGCTGTCCTTCATAGTGTCAGATTTAACTTTCTGTAGATGTTTATCAAAAGACACTATTACATCTGTTCACTCAAAAAAAAGTTAAATGTTTGATCTCTTGTTTGTTTCTTTAAAGGAAAAAAGTTAAATAGATGCCAGAACTTTTATTTTACCTACAAGGACCACTTTATGACTCAATGGATACTGTATAACTTGGTTTTTCTGGAACTTGATTTTTGCTCAAGAGCATGCAAAATTTTTTATCATGGATTTGTGTACTCTTAGTATTCAGGCTTGGGAACTGGAAAATGTTCCTCTTAAATACTTATATTAAAACTAAATGTAAGGGCTGGAGTGATAGCACAGTGGATGGGGTGTTTGCCTTGCGCGCGGCCTACCCGGGTTTGATTCCCAGCATCCCATATGGTCCCCCCAAGCACTACCAGGGGTGATTTCTGAGTGGAGAGCCAGGAGTGATCCCTGTGCATCGCCGGGTGTGACCCGAAAAGAAAAAAAAACTAAATAAAAAATTTAGGAAGATTTTGACAATTTTTCTTTTAAATTCTTCAGTCTGTAACAATCTCAAATACCAAGAAGTTCTGCCTAAAATATTTCAATGTCATTTTTGAGACTGATGGCCTTTTTATCTTAACCTTGGAAAAATAAAGAATAGTTATCCTTATTCTTAGATTGTAAGATATCCTCTTAGGCAAATTAAAAGTATTTGTATCTGATCATCATTTTCTACCTAAATTCTTATTTATGATGGGCACATACTTCTAGAACTCCTCCCTTTCCCCCCATTTAATTTCATAGATCCACATTATAAATTTTACAATAATGTCAGTATCTGTCAGCTTCACTTTCTACATTATGCTTCATACCTACCCTGAAGGTGAGTCCTCTGTTCATTTATAATAATAAAAACATCACTAAAAAGCCACTTTCCTGTTACATTCAAATGGGGAGTTGATATAGAGCAAAATATTTTAAAGTAGTGAAATGCTATACCGTGCAACAGAGGTCAAATAAATCAGAAGTTTTGTTATCACTTCATCTGGAATACATCTGAAGTTATGATTTTCTGGAAATGTAATGATCCAAGCATTGTCTTTTCCCAGGCCACCTAAAAGAATATGAACAAATCAAGTGAATTATATGACAACAGTGCAAGATAGATGCTTTTATTTATATTTCTCCATATTTTCTGACATATGGTCAATGGTTTCCAGTACCATAACATTTCAGGGGTATAGCTTAACACCTCAATATAGATGATTTTGTATTTGAGGATGGGGCAATTACAAAATAGTTTGTAGTCTAAGTGAAATGAGTCAGAAAGAGAGGGACAGACATAGAAATATTGCATTCATCTGGAGAATATAAAGTAACAAATTGGGAGACTAGCCCTCAAGAATAAGTAAGATAAGTACCAGGAGGTTCACTCCATGGCTTGGAGGGCAGCCGCACATGCTGGGGGAGAAGGCAGCTCAGATAGAGAAGGGAGTACTAAATAAAGGGTGTTGGGAAGATCCTCCCAGGATGGGAGAAGCATGCTGAAAGTAGACTATAGACCAAACATGATTGCCACTCAATGCCTCTTTTGCAAACCACAACACCAAAAAGGAGAGAGAGAACAAAAGGGTATGCCCTGCCACAGAGACAGGGTGGGATGAGGGGGTGGGGGAGGTGGGAGGGATTCTGGGAGCACTGGAGGTAGGGAATGGGCACTGGTGGAGGGATGGGTACTTAATCATTGTATAACTGAAACCTAAGCACAAAAATCTGTAAGTCTACAACTGTACCTCATGGTGTTTCACTAATAAAAAAATAATAAAAAATAGTTTGGAGGCAATGCAATGTTTAATTGGATGATGATACTGATAAAAAGTGACACCATGATTCTAAGTTTTAACAGCAGCATAATGGTTTCTAAAATTAAATGAGAAGGGATAGTAGAGGCAGAGAAAGGAGAGAAATGGAGAGAAGGTGCAGTAAGAAGAAAAGACTAAGAGAGGAGAGGTAATTGGTGAAGGTAGGAAAGGAACAAATGGAGGGGAGGGGAGAATATGAGAGAAGAGGAGGCGAAAATCAAAAGAAATTGGGGGGATTACAAGTAATAAATAGTTTTAAAAATAAGTTGAATACTCAATATAGTTAACCAAAGGTATTGGGATATAGCTGTTTCTATATAAATGTTAGGAGTCTAAATTGGGTGGTTGACAAATAATTGATGAATTGACAGCAAGTGGAAACTTTGATGTAATCAACCACTTAGAGTCATAGTGAGTATGAAAGAATATAAGCTAAAAATTGTAGGTAGTGATTGATGCCTAAAAGGACTGTGGAAGAGATAACATATGATATAAGAATCTTACTAATCCAAAGAAAGAACGATAACAAATTATCTGAGGGCTAAAATTTAGTGTGCATCCAATTATGCACAAACCTTTGTGCAGCCTGGAAGATGAGTTAAAGTTACAAGTTTTACAAAGAATTAAAGTTACAAGTTTTACAAAGAATTAAACTTACAAGAGATGGGATGGGGGGGGGAGAGAGAGAGAGAGAGAGAGAGAGAGAGAAGTGTCTGCCACAGAGGCAGGCAGGGGGTTGGCGGGAGGAAAACTGGGGACATTGGTGATGGGAAATATACACTGGTGAAGGTACAGGAATAGGAATATTGTATACATGAAACCCAATCATGAACTTTTTAACTGTGTAATTCATGGTGATTTAATTTCAGTGTCTGTATTGCAAACCATAATGCCCAAAAGTAGAGAGAATGGGGAACACTGTCTGCCATGGAGGTGGGGGGAAGGTAGAGAGGGG